TGCGCTTCACCGCTTCAGGCCCCGCCTACCCCGACCGGCCGCGCGCCTCTAGCCCCGCCCACCCCAACCGGCCGCGTGCCGCAGCCGCGGCCTCAGGACCCGGGCAGCCACAGTCTTGGGGGAACACGGAGCCCGACGTCCAGTCCTGTGCGCGCGCCTGCAGCGCGGACGCGGACGAGCTCGAGGCCTACTGCGCTAGCGAATTCGGTGAGCGCGCCCCGGGACCCCGCCCGCGCGCCCGCTCCCCGCCCTGTGTCTTGCAAGAGTCGCACGCACACGAGGAAGTGTAACGCTGTTCTCCAAACTCTTTTCCAAAAGCAGCGGTGAATGGAATCGTGCACGACGTGGACGTGCTGGGCGCAGGGATGCGGCTGGTGACGCTGCTGGTGGACCGCGACGGGCTGTATAAGATGAGCCGCCTGTACATCACCCCGGACGGCTTTTTCTTCCGAGTGCATATATTGGCCTTAGACTTCTCCAGTTGTCATAAACCATGTCCAGAATTTAAACCTGGTATTGAAACTGACCCAAATGCCCCGTTCATAGATGTCTTTTATACTATTGGGCGCTTGACTGATGCAGCTGGGCTTCCGTAGGTCACCCCACCCCCCTCCCTCTTTTTTTTCTTTGCAGCGCTAGAATTGAACCTAGGGTCTCACATACAGGGCAAGCACTCTGCCACTGAGCGATATTCTTTTGAAATAGGCTCTTATCGGGCAGAAGAGGCTAACCTCAAATTCATGGCAATCCTGTTTCAACCTCCTATGTGTTGGGTTACAGGCAGGGCTCAATCCCAGCTTTTTTAAGAAAACTATTTTATTATTTTTATTTTATGTGTATGCGTGTATTGCCTGCATGTAAGTAAGTGCACCCATGTCGTGCAATGCCCTTGGAAGACAGAAGAGGCTGTCAGCTCCCGTAGAACTGGAGTTATGGACAGTTAGCTGTCATGTGGGTGCTGGGATTCGAACCCTGGTCTTCTGCAAGAACAATGTTCTTATCTGCTGAGCTATCTCTCCAACCCCTCAATCCCAGCTTCTTAAGGAAGAGTAGTTTAACTAAGGTGTAATTGGTAGGAGTGGCAGGGTACACCTGTAATTCCAGCACTCAGGTAGGATGCCAAGGCCAGAAGTTCAAGGTCATTCTTGGTTAGATGAGACGCTGTCTTAAAACAAAAATCCCAAACCAAACACCAGTATGTTGACAAGGGACTTATGGTGAAACATCATTGCCAAAGGGGATACAGTGTTCTGCTGCACAGCCTGAGCTGAGGAACACTTTTTGGGAGTGCTAGCGTTGGGAATACTCTCAGTTCTTCCTAGACTGAGTTTAGATCTTTGTTCGGTGGCTGTTCACAGGCTCTCTCTTCAAAACATTTTCCACCTGCTGCCTTAAGTCAAGCTCAGGCACTCCTTAAAGGTCTCAGCTGTGCTTCACGGCATTTAAATGACACCATTTCTATTTTGGTTATTTTGTTCAGGCAGCAGGTATATTGTGATGGGTCACATCTACCAGAAGAGACGACAGCTTCCTGCTGCTCTGCTCCAGGTCCTGAGAGGGCGCCTGAGACCCGGAGATGGACTGCTCAGGAACCCCAGCAGCTACGTGAAAAGGTTTAACCGGAAAAGGGAGAGGAAAGTACGAGGTGCCACCCACACCCAGTGCACTTGAACAGACCACTTGGCACCTGTGAATCCTGAGACTTGGAATTCAGCAGTAAGAAAGACCCATCTTCATATATCAAAGTCTTCTGAAATTGGGCCCACAGCTACCTTAAGAGCAACGTGCGCAGTTCAACCCACAGCTACCTTAAGAGCAACCTGCGCAGCTCTTGAGCTCAGGGGCAAAGTTACTCCAAAACACTAACAGACATTGATTCACACAGTTCAGACACTTGAACTGCCAGTCAACAGACCACTACTTTGTGCTGTTTTTAAGTTATTTTAATTTAATATTCTTTAGTAGAAATAGTTCACAAAACATTTCTTGAATTTCAATATACAACTTTGAATAGTTATGTTTCAAGTCAAATTTTGTACTTAAACCATCCCGTTTAAAATTCTGTACGTGAGAATAAGGATAGGAAGTCAGAGTCATTTACATATTAGATCAGACACTAGCGGCAGAGCCCTGACCAAGTATTACAACTTTACATTTCAGGGGCTTAAGCAAAACATCATTCAAAACAAGTGTTCCTGAGGTATCAAAATGTAAGATCAGGTGTATTCTCATCTCCTTGCTCCCAGTTACTCATGTTTTGTGCTAAACTGGAGCTATCCAGTGCTGCATGTATTCTGTGCTCATGTCATTATTCTAATGAACAAGTATCATGTTTGTGTTTTTAAAGCAGTAAATCTTGCCTTGAAATCAGATCTCGGATGCACCTGGCTTTTTTTAGCCTCACCTGGCCTAGGTTTGAGAAAAAGCTTCTCAGACTTTACTTCCCAAACCCTGGAAACAGTATTCATGAGTGACAGCTCCCAGACCAGTGAAGTGTAAGCATTTTCTGTTTGGCTTGAAAAAGCTTCAATTCCCCATTACATTTACATTTGATGATTTTATACTTGAATCCATAAAGACTGTAAGCCCCCCACCCCCCATCTCCAGGCCCCAGGGGATCAAAGTGTACTTCAGTTAATTTGTAGTTCTGTGAATAGACACTTAATGCAGGAAGATGTCTGTCACAGGAAAGCAGCACACAGAGACTAAAGTGACAGTGTCTCTAGCTGTGAAAAGTTTATAGCAAGGATGATGTCTGTCACTGGAAAGCAGCACATGGAGATAAAGTGACACTCAGTGTCTCTAGCTTTGAAAAGTTTATAGCAAGGATGCCTACAGGGAGTGAGCCTGGGGAGTTGATCCAGAAGTGAGCAGCCATAGCTGAAGTCATAATGAAGCCAGGCTTGGTGGCGTACTCTCTAATGTTGAGCTTGGGAGGCTGAGGCACGAGTTGAAGGCCAGCCTGGGACTACAGGAGGCTCTGTCTCAAAAAAGGGGGAGGGGGATTGGAAAGATGGCTCAGCGGTTAAAAGTGTTGCTACTCTTACAGAGGACTGGAGTTTGATTCCCAGCACTCTCACTGGGCAACTCACAACCGCCTAGAACTCCAGCTCTAGGGGATCCGATATGTTCCGGCCTCCTTGGGCTCCTGCACACGTGTGCATACCCACAGGCAGACAGACAACACACATATACACATAAATTTTTTTTAAAAAAAATGCCAGATCCCTGATGTTCAATATACTTGGAGGTCACACATTTAGTATGTACCCCCCAGAAATATGTGCAGGCCAAATGCTTTAGAAACTGCCTGTAAAATTAGGGCCATCATTCAAGGCAGGGTCTGTCTGCAAGGTGACCAGTGAGGCTCAGTCAAGATAGGCTAGTGATGGGCAAGAGACCTGAGGAGACAGTAAAGAACCCGGGAATTCCAAGGTAACAGAAAAGGTTAGAAGAATCACCTATTCAGACAGGACCTTGGTTACAATCTTTAATTTTATGGGAAATCTTAATGAGCAAATTCACTGTTGTCTCTAATCTTTTGTCCTATTTGTAAGATTTTTTTCCTAGCACATGCGTATGTGTTGCAAAGACTAAAGGGCCTTTTTTACCTACATGCACACATAATAGTCCCTCATAAATAAAGGTCTTAAACTTGTCTTTTGGCAGTGTTCATCTCTCTTGAAATCATGTTTAAGGTGGCCAAGCACATACTGACTTTGGAAAAATCAACTTGCTGTCTGCAATGCATACTCTCAATTTCTGGATGTACTTGCAAATGCAGCCAGAAGTTAAAAAAGGACTTTACCATTTTGAAAATACAACACTACTTTAGTTGAAATTGGTCTAAATTGGATCAAGTGATATGACCTGAGAAATGTCTTTCTCAGAATCTCATTCTAAGTATCAAAAACTGCCTTAAGGACCACACACTAGAAATACGCCCTGAAGACCTTCCTGCATGGACTTAGCACTGCTTTGCTCAGGAGAGACCACAGTTCCTGTTAGAAACTTGAAATCCGACAGTGCTGAGGACCAGCCTCACCATGGCAAGAGTGAACCTGTCAAGCCCCTGAGTGTGCAGCCATCAGGCTGGCTCTTGATGTCAGAAACACAAAGAAGCCAGAAGCTCTCCTGATACAAATGAACAGAAACAGGGAAAGAACTTTTATTGCAGATTTGAAGGAGGAAGGTTACAAAGAGCAACACATTTCAGGGACCCTAAACAGCATTCCAGGCCACTTGAAATATAAAAAGATAATTACGTTTTCCCTTAGAAAACACCCCCAAAAGATCACAGTATCTTTAACCTCCTACTGCAGGACAGCAGATACAAACCCTACAAAATGTGGACAGGAGAAAAAAGCCTTATGAAAATATCTCTTTTGGTCTCAAAGACTGTGAATTTGGAGATGAAGCACAGGAAACAATAAAAATATTTTTAGCCAAAGAAATCTATTGGTGTAAATTAAATACAACTTTCAGGCCCAAAGACCGGGGTAGAAACATCTGAACAGTATCACAAATATACATGGTATCACTAGGATCTCTGAATATAAACCAGCACAAGGGTCTACCGAATAGTAGAGGCTTGCCAAAGAATACTCAGAGAAAAGCAGCTCTTGAAAGGAGAATGTATGTTTTTCAGAAATTCCCTTTGAAAGACTAAAGCTCTATAGTTTGATAAAATTATAAAATGTCTCTGTATTTATATGGTGATAGAAATTGCAAGTCTTTATACCATTAAATACATACATATGAAATTAACATTTTCCTGATCTCAGGATTTCCACAAAATCCCCCCCTCTTTATTTGTACAATTTGGCAGTACAACTTCAGAAAATATATCAACTGGCAAACCAAGCAACCAAGCAACCAAGCAAGCAACCAAGCAAGCAAGCAAGCAACCAAGCAACCAAGCAAGCAACCAAGCAACCAAGCAAGCAACCAAGCAAGCAACCAAGCAAGCAACCAAGCAACCAAGCAACCAAGCAACCAAGCAAGCAACCAAGCAACCAAGCAAGCAACCAAGACCAAGCAACCAACCAACCAAGCAAGCAACCAAGCAACCAACCAAGCAGGCAACCAACCAAGCAACCAAGCAACCAACCAAGCAACCAACCAACCAAGCAACCAACCAAGCAACCAACCAACCAAGCAACCAACCAAGCAGCCAACCAACCAAGCAAGCAAGCAACCAACCCCAACCAACCAACCAACCAACCAACCAACCATTGTTTCATTAGAAACTGCACAAAATCCAATGTCAAAAACATTACTTTTATTTTTTTAGGATGAAATGTCCTATTACGTACAAAAAGAATTTTTTAGAATTCACCACAATTTGTTAAAAACATAGCAATCTATTGCCTACAGGTAGGAAAGTTCTTGCTGCAACAAGTTTTTTATGATTAAGCCCATATATGTATGAATAAATAGCACAGAAATACTGTGACATGATGAGATGCAGAATAACATTGTAATTCAGTAAAATGTAGAATTCTTGCATCGGCACAGTGCATACAACATGGAACATTTTTTTTTTAACTAAAAGGACAAAATAGGCTGTATTTAACTACTTCCATCTTAATATTTTAAGCAAAAAATTTGTTTCCATATTGAGCAGTTAGTTTCTTTAGTTTGTAAGCAGAGCTTTATACAAAAAGGAACGGGCTTCAGTTGAGGAAACGTATACACCCAGAGGAACCTATACACCTGAGCCTGTCATAAGAGAGTTGGGAACTGTAGCCATAGTTTTCTTTTTAGAAACTAAGGTCTGGGGAAGGTTTTGCATAGCAGGGCAACGTGAAACAAGAGACTTTTAAAAGACAAAAACTAGGTAAATTCTAGAACTCAGTAGGACAAAGCTAGTATGAATTAGTGCAAAGTCTAGGGAAGTTTTTGCAAAGCTGCATAATCCAGCTCTGGGAGTTTTAGAGAAGCCATTAAGACAACAGCAACACAATGGGTAAGGTCAGAACATGGAAGGAAACGTGCAGCGTACACCTTCTCTGCTCTTTCTACTGCCTCTCCACTGCGTGTACTCCTCTTCCCTATGTGGAGCAGTTAACCCAAACACCCAACAAAGAGTACAAATGACAAGTCACCTAAAAAAATGCCCTTCATACACTATAGGTAGCTGTTTCTAACTAGTAATTTGCCTACAATCACACAGAGCATGGATGCAGGCCATGTGTACTGTGTCATATTAGCGTTATTACAGGTATGATCAACTGATGAGTTCCCTGGAGATTTCCTCTGATGTGGTGACAATGGGCTGGGATTCTGAAAGGGAGGGCCACTGCCATCCTGGAGAAACTCAGGTCTGATCAGAGCCTGTTGCCTGCCATCTGTGGCGACCCTCCCTCTCCCCACAAAGGCTTAGTTTAGAGATAATCATTAGCGCACATTCAAAGAGACCTCCATCTGTGGGAGAAAAATTATCTCCATTTATTTTGATTCATATACATCCATATTTGAATTTTAATACAAAAAGAAAAAAATTAGAATCTGACAAATGTTTACAAACAAGATACCTTCAAATAGATTTTGCTCATTTCAGCCTGGTGCGGAGTAAATGACAAATTGTACTGGTATAGTCAAGGCAACGAAGTCTGTAGTCCAGGACCACTGAGCCCAACCTTTCTGCAAGCTTCATTTTTCTCTACCATGAACAATAAAACTCATTGTTGATTCCCAGTTGTGTGTGCACATGTGTACATAGCAGCTCCTTTCATAGAAAGAAAAGACATCTAGAGGTCGTCTTGTACTTTACCTACAGGAATCATGATAAGATACAGGATGGATACATGGAACCGGGGCTGGATTTTATAAGAAAAAATAATTAGCTGACAAATGAGGGCAGCAATAAAAAAGCGTCTTTTTTGCAACAATAAATAAATACAGTCAAAAGTTTTCTGTGAGACTCTAAACCAGCTTCTTCACTGAAGAGCAGACGTGGCATTTCCATGGAGTTACACTGGACCCCATAGCATCTTTTTTTTTCTTGCTTTCTTTTTCTTTTTTTTTCAATAAACAAAGTTTTCCCGCTTCTGCCACAATAGTAAAACCATTTGATCTTGACAAGATAATGGTGTCGTTGACTTTGCTTTTCCTTTGTCCGTTGGACAAAATTGGCCAAGAATACAATTGGACTGTTATGACCAATAAAAACGAAGTTTAGGTCAAGTCTTGTCAGGATAACCTGACTAAAAACATCTGGCTCTTTAATTTAAAATAGTTCAGACAACCAGATTCTTGCTGTGTTTTAGGTTAAGTTTACACGCTGAACTTTAAGAAGCTGTAGACTGCAGTTTGTTGTTATGAGACCTACAGAATACAGAAAAAAGGGAACAATTAAGCACCCTTCATTTTTGAAACAATGATGCTTTATATGGATGCCAAGGTGGGTCTGAGGGAAGCAGCCATATTCTTTCACTCACCCTTGGTGAGCAAAAATAAGAGAATAAAGAAAACTTTAAACTATAATATTAAAGCTTTTCACTGTACATTAAACATGGTAGCTCACTGGAAAAAGCCAAGGCTTAAAAAAAAAATATATATATATATAGTTTGTTTAATAAAGATTATACAGAACCCATCCTTTCTTCTATGCATATGGGGCAAGAGGAGAGACTGGCTACTGGGATCTGAAGAGAGCTATGACTGTCCTAGGGTAACAGGATGGGGTGTTAAAAAAAGAGAAGTAGCAATATTAACATCATATTTTTCTATTAAAGTCCAGAAAATCTTCTCTTTTCACAGTTTTATTCACAATTTTTGTCAGTAAACCAAATTACTGTACAGTTACCAGGACTAAGTCGTAATACTTTATATTGCAATCGTAGATAAATACAGTATTCCAGAGTATACAATCCTTTAAACACATTGTCCAACATGGCTGCTAGAATAAAAACTTTTACCATATCTACACATCTTTATTTAACATAAAAAATTATATTAACTAATCTCAACTTTTGGGAGGGGAATTTTGATTTAGATAATCGCGGAGTATAATAAAACAGTGACCCCAACATCCAGTTCTGATTCCAGTTAAAAATTCAGACTAAAGATATCACAATCTGTAAGAAAAGAAAACACGGATGGTATAAATGATGGATCAGAACAAAGCACAGCAAGGAGAGTAATGCGTAAACAACACTGGAGATCATAAACTAAACAATGGGAGGTGTGGCAAGGGGCAGGCCAGAAACACAGAAGTAAATGAGCTTCCAGGACTGGCTAGGTCTTTCATTCTGTCTTAAACCTGGAAATGGCAGAAATTCAGTGAGCTGCCTTCACGGAGCTCCTCACATTGTAATTTTCTCTAGCAGAACAGAGCAAACTTTTAATTCGGCACCTAATGTTCCTTTATGCATACCAGTGCTTTAGTATACAGAAAGCCACATGAAGCAAACAGGTGGTGAGATGCCCTGCACACGTGCACATGCACGCACACGCGCGCGCACACACACAGAGCATCAAGTGGCTCCTTCCCTGGGGACCTACTTGCTAAGTAAGCCTCTATCTTCCTCAAATTCCTTTGTTTTGCTACAAGCCACAGGAATGTCAAGTGGTTTCTCCTCCTTCACCCTTTGCACTCTCTGGGATTCTGTCCCAGAATCCAGCTTGGCAGCAAGGGCAGGACTCAGAGCACCCATCTTTGGACCCCAACTACCTCCAAACGCCTTTTCAATTTAAAAAGGTAATTCTGGAAATTTAATCAGAGGACTAACTGCACAAGGCATGAACCAGAGAGCCTGGAGAGGCCTGTAAAGAGAAGCGGCCTGCCTTTACTCTCCTCTGCTGTCTGTACTGAAGGTCATGTTCCCTGGGAGCAATCACTTCCTCCTTTTACTTCTTTGGGTAATTCCTCTTTGCACATGGCTCTTTCCTGTTTTATCAACTTTATTTTGCTATGGCAACAGAGATCTGGACTAACCTAACCATTTTCCCACTTCCCTTTTTGAGCCCAATTTATTTCCCTAGGATTTAGCAATTCTCTCTCTCTCTCTCTTTTTTTTTTTAAAGTATTTTTATTACTTTATGTGTATGAGTGTATGGCCTACATGTATGCAAGTGTACCTGTGTTGTGCAGTGGCTGTGGATGTCAGAAGAGGGTGTGAGAGTCCCTGGAACTGGAGTTATAGATGGTTGTTAGCTGCTATGTGGGTGCTGGAGTTGAACCTCTAGGTCTGCTGCAAAAGTTAAGTGCTCTTAACCACTGAGCCATCTCTCCAGCCCCAGCAATTCTATCTTTAAGACCTCTACTCCCTAACTCTACATGCTGAAACACGTTGGGGTTCCAAAGAGCAGCAGTTTCCCCCCTCCCCAACAGGGACCTCACCTTGACCTTTGGAGTCAAGGGAAAGAAACTCTGCTGAGAAGCAGCCTGACTTTCCTTTGACCTCCAAAGATAAGCAGATTCTACCTGATAACCAGAGATTTTAGAAGCTGTTTTTCTCTCATCTTAAGAGGGAAAAAGTAAACACTTCCACATCCTAATCCTACCTGCTTTTCCTGCTTCCCCCTCCCTGATTTCTCCCCCAAACATTCCCCCCTTCCACACCCTAAAGCCCCCATATATAAAGTCCCAGCTCACAACCCGTGGGTGGACATCTTTCCCTCCCTGATTTCTCCCCCAAACATTCCCCCCTTACACACCCTAAAGCCCCCATATATAAAGTCCCGGCTCACAACCCATGAGCGGACATCTTTCCCTTCCCCGACGGAAAGGTGCCCCGTGCGAAATAAAGCTGTATCCCGCTGAGAATTCCATCTGTGCCTCGGTGCCTTCGCCCTCGCTCCCGCCCGCTCTCTACCTATCAAAACACAGTGCCTACACTCCAACTGTGGAAATGTTTTTCTCTGCAGCAAGTAGCTAGTTATTTGCTAAGGAGATATTTTCTATCCTGAACACTCTTTGGTTTACACAGAGTGTTGTGCTTTTTGGAGTCCAAGTAATTATCTAATTCCTGAGTCATTCACTCTCCCGAGACACTCCTGTCTTGGGAATGCTCCATTCTCCTGTTCCTGCCAAGAAAGCCCTTTCCTTACCTGACAATGTACTCTGCTTTCCCTCTGTACTGTGTGCTTTTTTTTTTTTTTTTTTTTTTTTTTTTTTTTTTTTTTAAAAAAAAAAAAAAAAAAAGAGGACGATAAATCTTTCACTGTGTAGACCAGGCTGGCCTTGAACTCACAAAGATCCGCCTGCCTCTGCCTCCCGAGTGCTGGGATTAAAGGCGTGCATCACCACACCCAGCTGTACTGTGCTTTTACATCTGTGCACAGGTGCGTGAGCAGACAATCGTTCTTCCTGAAGCTTTTGGACTTATTCTTCCCTTCCACAAGGACTGGTATCAGTTTAGTTCTTGATACTTCATGGCTTTTCTGTCGTGTCTTTTGTAGAAAAGCTTTTTTATCTCTGGCATTTTGACATGTCAGAGTGGTGTATGTGGGGTGATCTTATTTATGTTTTATATGTGTGAGTGCTTTGTCTGCATGTATGTAAGTGCACCACATGTGTGCAATGCCCACAGAGGCCAGAAGAGGGCATCAGATTCCCTGGAATTGGAGCTACAGATGCTGTTAGCCATCTGATGTGGGTGCTGGAAACTGAACTCAGGTCCTCTGCAAGAGTAGCCAGTGCCCTTAACCACTGAGCCATCTCTCTAGCCCCATGTGGGTGATCTTTTCCATCTGTCCACCTGGCCACCTGGCTTATTATATCATATCAAATCAAACACCTTTTCTACTCTCTCTCCTACAATACTACAAACTGCAGGAGAGCTTTCCTTTACTGACTAGCTTTCCACTGTCAGCATGGAGAGGTTCTTGATAACTTTGCCCAACAAATGACTGATTTTTTTCTTGGCTTTCAAGCATTATGCCCATTTTCTTACATTAATCTTTTGATAATTTCCATTAAGTGAATATGGGACATAGTAAGATTTTTATTTCAGTTTTCATCTCTCCACTCTGAGAGGTTCCTTGACCTTAACTTTCACTACTTGCAGCAATTTTATGGTCCCCCCAAATTATTCTACCTTATTCTTGAGTTGTCTTTATTCCCAATAATCTGCTGACCAGGATACAGGTGCAGTGTGCTTGACTGTTTCTCAGGGCATGGGTTGGAGGTGTGTTGTGTTTTATAGGACACACTTTGTTTTTCTCTAGAATCTTTCTGCTCCACCCTGAACTCTGGTTTTCCTTACATGTCTGGCTGTCCCTGGGTATCTGCTAACACTTCAGAAGGGTAAGTTACAGACAGCTATCAGCCTGACAGGTGATATATGTGTGCAGGGCTTACAGACTGGCAGTTATTTGTTATTTGAGACAGGATCTTGTTTATAATAATGCCCACGCAGATCTCCAACTGGTAAGCTCAAGAGATTCTTCTATTCAGTCTCCCAAATAATTGGGACCTAGCCTTGATACTGGGCTGGAAAGCTTTGCTTTAGATGAGGACTGAGTTTTTTTTAGAGTCTGAATGGCATTTTGGGGATGGTTCATGTTTGTCATGGGACAACAGCCTTTTTGGGACGATGAGCAGCTTCTCTGGCCTCAATCTGCTAGTTGCTAGCACCACTCCAACACGGGTACATGAATCTCAGGCTATTTTCTCTTATTTAATTAGATTTTGGAATCTCCATGTGGGGCTCTCTGGGGCTCTAGTGGGTAGCATGCTGTCACCTCTCCTGAATTCTCCAGTGTCACCTCTCCTGAATTCTCCAGAAGAATCTGGGTCATGTTTGCGCTGGACTCATGAGTTGATCCTTTTCCATCTGCTAAGTGTTGATGAGATTTCAGTGTGCTCTCTTTCTTCTTTCTTTTTTAAATTTTTTTCTGTTTTATGTGTATGAGTATATTGCTTGTATGTGTGTAAGTGCATCTGTGTCACACAATGCTTGTGGGGGTCAGAAGGCGGCTTTGGATCCCCTGGAACTGGAGTTAGGTTGGTTATTAGCCACCATATGAGGACTGGGAATTGAACCCAGGTCCTCTGCAAGAGCAGCCAGTGCTCTTAACCACTGAATCATCTCTTCAGCCCCCTCTCTTTTTTACTGAGTTCATCTTTTTAAATAGATAAAATTTCTATTCTTGCCCCCCGCACCCCCGATAGCTCTTGGTAACTATCTACCTTGCTATGGGAGAAGAAACATGAAACATACCCGAAGACTTTACTCAGAGGGAAATTACTAGGTAGAACACTCGTGTATGTGTGTTATACCAGGGACTGAACCCAGAACCTGGGCATGCATGCTAGACAATTCTCTATCAATGAACTTCCCCTTTGGCCCATAATACTAATAACAGATATGGAACCTTTTAGAAATTAAATTAGATAATCTATAGATACACAGGCCCTAACAGCCAAGTTCTACCTAGTCTGAATGTTTAGGACTGATTGAGCTGGTGGGTGGGTGGATATGGTATGGTGAATGATGATTCTCAAGGCTCCAGGATGCTGGCAGTTAACAGCAGTTACCACAGGAAAGGCAGCCAGGCCTCACTGGGAAGGAAGAAACTAACTCATGTGCTTGAGATGGGGTTGAAGTTCAGAAACAAAAGGGCATAAAGGTCACAGTAGCTGAATTTCATGCAAAGTTGCTCAATGTTTTTATGGTTTACAGGTTCAAAAAAGTCTCTGAGGACTTGAAGTCTAGCACTGCCTACAGAAAACCTCTCAAGAAAACTAGAGGTTTATGATTTCAAAGACACAGCACACACAACTCAAGGAGGGAGTGCTTAAATCCTCCCTTACTGTCTTTTCCCTTCAAATGGTCATTTTGTATTTCTCTGATAATTGGCTCAAGGAGAGCAAGAGCTCTCACTGTCTGTCCACAGGCCCAATAGGCAGAATCTTACATTCTATGAACAGCCCTAAATGTCCTTTGCATTTTATAAAGGGACTTTAATTTTAAGCACTTCTGAAGCAGATGCAGCAATCTGTTATTATTAGGTCTGCCTCCTGTCTCAAGTAGTATTCCAAAATATTGTAGTTTTTAAGTTTTTATTTATTTTTCGTCTTTTTGAGACAGGGTCTTCCTGTAGTTCCAGCTGGCCTGGAACTTACTTTGTAGACATGCTGGCCTCGAACTCACAGAGATCTGCTGGCCTCTGCCTCCGAAGTGCTGGAATTAAAGGCATGTGCCACCACGCCTGGCTAAAATCTTTTTAAAGTTTAAGGAACTTATTTCAAGGAACAAATTTACTATGAACACTTGGCCAATTCCTTTAATAGAACAATGCCATTTGAAGAAATGATTTAATTCAAAATATTGAACACATGTGCTTACCTGCTAGCCTTGAATCCTTTCAATTTCTGTACAAAGAATGATTCAAGAACCTCTGCACACTGGTAAAAAGGGGAGTCACTTGGATTGTAGTAACGACAGTTATCAAAAATTTTGGTCATATCTGCCACAAATTCCGTCAGCTTTTCATAATATCGTTTTTGTACTCTTTCTTCCATGGTGGCAAGATCTTGAAAACACAAAATGTAAAACAGTTTCAAAGCTTTGAGGTTTTCGGTGTGAACATGTCCTGTAGCTCCATGAAGTCTCTACACTGCTCAAACACTTCTGCAGCTGAGCTGCCACCCCTGCAGATGAGGTACAGACCCTGATAGCAGGTTAGCATGTTCCCAATCCTATTTCTGGCTGGGGTTCTTAAACACAAATCCTGGTCACTGTTTTAAAAAGGGTCTTTATTTTTATTTAACTATATAGAATAGTTCTTTGTTCATTTAACTACTTTAAGTTAAAGGAAACCATGCCAACAGGGGCTATGCATGTAGGATAAATTGTCTATTTTGAAAAGTATAATATTAAATGCAATTCCGATGCTATATTTACAAAAAGAGCTCACAGAGATTCCCCTGCCTCTTGAGTGCTGGGATTAAAGGCATGTGCAACCATGCCCAGTATTTCTTTTGTATATGTGCATATATTCGTGTGTAAGCCTGCTACAGCAAATGTGTAGGGCGAGAGGACAACTTGGGGAGAGGGGCTGCCTCTCTCCTGCCACCATGCTGGTCCCAGGGATGTTTCATGTGGTAATCAGCCCTTTTACCCACTGAGCTATCTCTCCAGTACTCCTGGCCTTGGGGAGGCTGGAAGCACCTCCTGCCTTTGGAATGCTAATGAGATGCCCCAGCTGATTGTCCCTAGGTAGTGTTGGGATGGAGGCTGGTCACCACAAAGAATAAGGCATGACTTTTCATCTTCAGGGGAGAGAGGCTGAAAGCCAAAGAATATATCTATGTAATGATTTTTTTTTTTTTTTTTTTTTTTTTTTTTTTTTTTTTTATCTTTTTGAGATAGGGTCGCACTGTAGACCCAGCAAGCTGGGACTCTATGTAAATCAAACTGGTCACAATTCACCCGCTTCTGCCTCCTGAGTGCTGGGATTAAAGGCCTGAGCCACCAGACCCAGTTGGTGGAGTGTCTGCCTGGCATGCTTGTAATCCCAGAATGTGGGAGGTAGAGCCAGGAAGATCAAAAATTCAAGGTACTCTTTGGCTACACAGACTTTGAGGCTGGCCTGGGATACCTGAGACCCTGTCAAAAGAAAACAATACTCCTCACACACATACTTTGGAAGTATAAGACAAAAAGTAATTCAAATGACCCTCTTTTTATTTTGAGACACAACTACTTATAGCTGCTCTTCTTTTTTAAAATTTATTTTATTATTTTTATTTTATATGCATGAATATGTAGTGTGTAAGGTGTACCGTGCAATGCCTGTGGAGGTCAGAAAGGGGTGTCGGATCCCCTAGAACTGGAGTTACGGACAGTTATTAGCCGCCACGTGGGTGCTGGGAATCGAACCTGGGTCCTTTACAACAGTAGCCAGTGCTCTTAACTGCTGAGCCACCTCTCCAGCCCCGTAGCTGCTCTTCTTGATACGATCAGTTATAGCTCCTGTTCACTAGCATTTTTCTGGGAAATGACTTTGCATTCTCCTGATCACTCCTGCTCCTTGTGGGATGTGCTGTCCTCGGGCCGCCTTTCCTCGGCATCCACTCATCCCTTGCACAGCACTCCTTTCACAGATCATCTGACTTAGTGACCCCTCTACTGGCTACTTGTTACATTGCCAGTGTTTCTGTCATTATAAACACTGTTTCCATGACCTTGTGCCTTCGTTCAGTCTTAAAAAATGAAATTGCTAGGCTCAAAAAAAAAAAATTTATTTTTTATTTTTATGTGTATGTGTATATTGCCCGCATGTAGGTAATCACACCCATGTCATGAAATGCCCTTGGAGGACAGAGAGGCTGTCGGATTCCCTGGAAATGGAGTTACGGACAGTTGTTAGCTGCCATGTGGGTGCTGGGATTGAAACCTGGGTCTTCTGCAAGAACAGTCAGTGTTCTTAACTGCTGAGCCATCTCTCCAGCCAAGGCATATTTAAATTTTAAAAGACATTCTCAGATCGGTGTGGTAATGTACTCTCAGCACTTGAGAGGTAGGTGCAGACAAGAGGATTGCTACAAAATTTGAGGCCATCTGTGCTAAACAGTGTCTATAATACCCAAAGTGACGGTAGACAGTACCACTTCATATTAGTCAGCTGCACGCTCAAGATAGTCTCATGCTATATCAGTTTTATGGCTGATAAAGTCTTGCCCAGGACTTCTGAAAAGAAAACTTCACATTCAACTCAAATACTTACCCATGGGTTCCTTAATAACACCATAATAATCTGGTGCATCATTGGGGTCTACTGGTTCAAGGAAAGGCCAGGCCATCTTATGGGCCTGTAATAAAAAACAAGTGTCATTACTGTCCGGTGAAAATACCAACAGAAGCACTAATTACTATTCAGCAGATTCACCACATCAACAAACCCTCAAAATTCAAAGGTCAGTTTTAAATTTAAGACATGAGTACCGGGTGTGGTGGCACACGCTTTTAATCCCAGCAGAGGCAGGTGGATCTCTGTGAGTTTGAGGCCAGCCTGGTCTCCATAGCAAATCCAGGCCAGCTTCAGCTACAGGGAGACCCTGTCTCAAAAAGACCAAAAAAAAATTTTTTTGAGACATGAAATTATTTGCTAGGTGATTTTGGCAGTAGTCACAGACTATATCCCCATCCCCTTTTATTTGTGTAAGAGAATAACTAGACTCTGATCAAACTGCTTTTCAATTTATTCCCATGAAAAAAAGTTTTCTTTAAAAGTGATACTTTAGGAAAACATGTGAGTCACTCGGATTTCATTTTTCAGATGCTGTGCTCAGTGGTCTCTCACCTGTAAGGAGCGCAGTACCCTCTTCAAGCCCTCATAGTCTTTCTCTGTCAGTGGTGTGAGCACTGTCATGGCATCCTCTGTCGACTGGCACTGTGGACAGACATACTCGTCAATGAGCTCTGCCTCACTTTGCAAGATGCCAACACAGCGCCCGTGGTACCAATTCTGACACCGATCACAGCCAATATAAAATCTGCAAGATCCAAAATGGAAATGTGAGGCCGAAAAGGACAGGCAAACCCTGCTTAGAATTTCCCTTCAAAAACAAAACATGCAAATTGAAAACTGGCTAACCCCTGGGATATAAAATAGTTGTGCTATTATGGCTGTTTTACTGTTCTTGAGATGGACATTTCAATTTGTTAACTGAGAATTTTTGATGTTAAGAACAAGCAGGAAAAGTTTACTAATAGCACTGTGTAATACTAGCAAACCAACTGAAGAAAAATGTGAAACATTTAATTGATTTTAAAGCTCAAAACAAAATATAGTTCCCCCCCAAATCTTCAACAACTACCTATCAAATGAGGATTCAAAATCTAATAAGCTAATTAATAAATCTCAGAGCTTATACCCAAACTAGTGGTTTTCTATCCTACCATAAAACACCATTTCAAACACTGATAAAGTCCAAACAAGTCAGGCTATTTTAATCTCATAAGTTTCTACTGCATACTGAAGAATCAAATCTACCATTAACCACATTTCCCCCAATGCGACTCAATCATTCACTAAGAAGCAACATACATTTTGAAGGGGAGGTAAAGAGAGAAAAAGAGAAAAAAAACTGGAAAGGATTTTGTAATCTAAGTGTATAATATATGCAGAAAAAGTACCTTGCTTTTTATTTTAAAATAAATAGGCAACCAGTCAGAGCAGTTTGGCTTCCTGAAGTATTAAAGAGGATGCTCTTATCAGAACTCACTGTGACTCATCATAAGGTGTTCTGCAGATACAGTACAATTCCTCACTGCTGCCCTCTTGTGCCCGTTTACAATCATTACAGATGTACACATCCATTTTCTTAGCCTCCTTTTCTGTGATGCCAACACATTCTCCATGATACCAGTTAGTACAAAGATCACAGCCAATATAGAACCTAAAAGTATTCACAATGAAAATGACAATGTAATTGTCATTTTGAGCTGCATGGTACTTAAATCTGTCTTCCCTACCCTGATTCACTTTCTTACAAGATAATTTTGGCAATGAGTCAGCTATAAGCATCCTGAATCCAACCATTTGTCTACCAGTGGCAAACTACGGCATCTGACACTGTATCAAGGGTGGACACGTAAAGTCACTCACATCGATTGCAACAAATACACTGTTTAGTGAAATATGGGTCTTTAAAACATACTGGAGTTTGAAAAAATAAACAACACACTGATGGTAATGGCTTCCTCTTAATGAATGTGTGTGAAATTATAACAGGCACAAAAACCAAAGCCGAAGAGTCAAAGACTTACATCTGTCAAACCCATTCCACAGAGGCCATTTCAGTGAGGGCTATTTCTTAGGTAGGTTTGAAAATGTATCTCACAATTTAAATTTGAAAACAAAGCAGAGCGCAAACACCAAGTACAAGTTACACTACAAGGAACATGCAGGCCAGCCAGGTGTAGAAGATAAATGTCAAAACATGGCATGGAGAGAACGAAGGAGGGTGCATGTATGTAATCTTTCAATTTCTACCAAGTTTCCTACACAGACATTAAAATTTAGTCTAAGTAAAAATCCTGTATCATTAGAGTATGACTGACATAGGCCAGTGTTTCAGTTAGTAGATGTGTCTGACAACTGGGACAGTGGTCCAGCAAGTTAACTAGTAAAGGGCTCTCAGGGGGCTGCTTCAATCCAAAACCAGGAAAAAAAGGCAGGGAAAAGGACATAAGATGGTTCTCCTAAGCTTCCAAAGGTCCTGCAGCATTAGGCAGGGTGAGCCCGTATGAGGGAGTAATGTAAGAAGCCACAAGGCTTTTGTGATATTGGTATTCTGGTGACAAGATGCACAAACTATCTCTGCAAGTATTGATGTGTGCTGTGTAGGACTGCATGACACCGACATGGTGAGAGCCCATGTAACCCACAGGCAGCCAGGCTGGCCCTGCTGCCACCACCGGCATCTTCTGCTCTACCAAGTTGCCTTGAGTAGACAGATCCACCTAGAGGAATGGAAGTGGGTTCAACATTTCCAACTGATGAATTTGAGGGAATAATATACAGTTATATGGTTCAACTTGTCACCAGGGACTTTCTTTTCTGAACTAGGATCCTCACAACCTCTGTCTCAGTGGGGATCTACTGGTGTGTTTTGGTATGCTGCCTCTCCAACGTGGGCTATGTGCTCTGGAACTAAGTTCACGGCTCAGGTTTTTCATTCTTACTAGAATCTAGTGACTAATCTAGTAACTAGCATGGTTTGGGCTGAGAGGTGACAGAAACACTCTGACTACATTACTCCAACTAAATCAGGGAGTGAATGAACCTGGTATGCTGAAATGCCAATGACAAACTAAAAAAAATATGAACTGTCCAGAAAATAATAAGGCAGTCTCAGTAGAATGAGCACATGTACATGTGTACCTCATTTTAAGCAGAAGTATCCCAAGCTGTGTCCAAATGACTTTCTGTGGACTGCACACTTTGTGCCAGCCCAAAGCAGTCCTTTCTATAAAGCACCCAGATTCTGATTTGTTTGAGGAACCATTTAATATGTTTTGCTTAAAGTGAGGCACACTTACTTGCACTGGACTATGGGAAAAAAAAAAACATTAGTTCACAGGTGCCAATTTTTACAGTATGGACAATTACCAATGAGGCAAGACAATGGAAAGTGCCGATGTCTACACTGCTCTGCTGAGCTCCACACAGCCCTCACCAGCAGAGCTTAGCTGACATTTGCAGACAGCTGGTGATTTAGGGAGCACCAGCAGAGCAGCTTCCGTGTTGCCACGTACACATTGTTAGGAACCACAATACTGTTTGGTGCATTAGGCACCCACTCAGGTAGACATTAAGCATTCCTAATTATAAATCATCATTCCTTTTTAAAAAGCACAATTAAACTTTTTGATACTGAAAAAACTGATTACTTTTGGTTTTAAAAAGCTGGCCTATGTTTTAATGTTTAAAATAGAAGCTGAATGTTTCAGTGAATAATAGTAATGACACACACACAAAGAAACTCTATTTATGAACTAACAGCTCTAAAATCTTGTTTACCTCACCAAATACAAGTCACAACTGTCAAAACAGCTTCCAGCTGTCATGTTCATGACATTTTTGAATGCCAAACTTGCAAAGTGGGTAAAGGGAACACAATGTATTTTTTGGCTTTTGTTTCCAATGAGTGGGAACTATGACAGAAATAGTGTTTCAGTGCCCCAATTTTTAAAAAGGGAGGGAGGATGATCACAATGGGAAAAAAAAACCCCAAACAAAAAACAGAACCAATCAGATGAAGCCTTTGTGCCATCCTCACACGGAGGGGAGTCAGGGTTTGGAAAGCCTAGAAAGGAGGCCAGCAGGGCTGGGGTGGATGGCTGGACAATGCCTCCTTCAGTGGTGGTACTGGCATCTAGGAGTTAATCCACAGAGGAGAGTTCTGAGAATGCAAAGGAGCCACAGAAAGCTTGTTTTTGACAGAAAAGAATATGATAAAGGAAAACAAGACTCGTAAGTGTGCGCAGCATCATCTTTTACACTACTGTCAAGGTTAAGAACTACAGCAAGACTACAGACAGAGCTCACCACCCTCACTGCTTTACTTCCGTTCACACCGTTACCAACCAGCACACTGTTCGTTTAGCAGCTAACCTGAGAAAAAGTAGAGCCCAAAAGATCTACTCACTTTGACTCATCGTAAGGCGTTTTACAGATACAGTAAAGCTTTGTGTCCTTCTTAGTTTCCTTTGAGGTAGTGGAGATCATTTTCTTCTTCTTAGACTTGGAGTCCTTCTCCTCTTCCCGCTTCCTCTTCTGGGAAGATGCAGGTGGCAGGGCTGTGGGGTGGGGTGGTGGAGCGGGTGCCGAGGGAGGAGAAGGAGGAGGCACTGGGGGTGCTGCTGGCACCACGGTCACCGGGGGTGTGGGTGCTGCTGCACTGGCCTGCACCACCTGCGCCATGTCTTTCTCCTTCTTCATTTTCAGGTCTCTCTTCAGCTCTTCCTGTGGTCAATTGAGGACAAGATGATCATCAGAGTTGTGTAAATGCACAACCTAGGCAGGACATAACTGACACCTGCCAAGTAGCATCTTAGCCTGATGGACAAAATTCTAGTGACTGTATACAAGAGCTTTCCTACTGTGCCTTAAGCACAAGTAAAACAATCAGAAACAGAAAATAATTATCCAACAACTGTAAAGCTGTTAGACAATGGTTTTGATGGATTAGAAAGAATGTCCTCTGTTGAGCCTAGATCTGTTCCTGTTATTCCAGCAGCTAATTAGGGCAGAGCCTCAACTGTCCTTACCTACCATCTGCCTAGAACACACAGGCAGGCAGAAACAAGAGAAACCCTGCCTCAATAAGGTGGAAGGAGAGAACTGACCTCTGAATGTTGTCCTCTGGCCTCCTCATATATGCTGTGGCTCACATACACATGCACACATACAAATTTCTGGGACTGGAGAGATGGCTCAGCAGTTAAGAGCACTGGCTGGTCTTACAAATGACCTGAGTTCAGTTTCCAGCACCACATGGTGGCTAACAACCATTGGTAACTCCAGTTCCAGGGGATCCAATACCCTCTTCTGGCCTCTGTGGGCACTGTAGTCACATAGTGAACTTATATACATACATATGTATACATTCATATACATAAAGTAAAAATAAAAAATTAGGCTGGGCGTGGTGGTATGTGCCTTTAATCCCAGCACTCAGGAGTCAGAGGCAGGTGGATCTCTGAATTCAAGGTCAGCCTGGTCTATATATCAAGTTTCAGTCCAGCTGGTGCTACAGGGAGACGCTGCCTCAAAAACACTAAATAAATAATTTAAAAATCCTGACCATTTAATGTTTAATACCTTTCAGACATACTTCTAATGTAGTACTACAACTTACTCTTGGAAATTATGAAAATTTGTATTACCCCAAAGAAAAACCACTCTGATAGCATCTATGAAGAAGCATTGTATGAATAATCAGTCAATGTATTTCTTAAAATGTAAGATATAAATTTTCATAATTTAGAATATTCCGAAACCATCTTCTAAATTATACTTTCCTTCCAAAATGTTAGAGACTTACAAGACAGCAATTTAGACAGCCTATATTTCCTAAAAAGAGTTTTCTAGGGTTAGTGAGTCAGCTCAGTATATAAAGGCAGCTGCTACCAAGCCTGATGACCCGAGCTCAACCCCCAGCACCTACATGGTAGGAGGGAAAGAACCAATTCTGAGAAGTTGTCCTCTGAATTGCACATGCCCTAGCATGTGTGTTACACTCATATTCACACTAAATAAAAATGAAAACGACACAACCAGCTAGGCATGGTGGCGCAGGTACTCAGGAGGCAGAGTCAGGTGGATTTCTGTGAGATTGTGGCCAGTCTGGTCTATGCTGGAAGTTCTATGTCGACTGGGGTTATATGGAGATTCTATCTAAAAAAAAAAAAACCCTCCCCAAACAAAAACAAAACAACAAAAGCCCCAAAGTTGAACATTTTAATATTAAGTGTAGAGATGGAGCTAAGTACGGCGTGAATTCTTATGATTCCAGCATTTGTCAGGCAGAGGCAGGAGGACTGTGAGTTTGAGGTCTGCAAGGGCAACAGAGTAAGACCCTGTCTCAAAACAAACAAATTCAACCACCCAAGCCTTCAAATACCCCCTCCCACATATACAGAAAGGGAGGTGATTGTGACTCTTAGCCTTGTGGTACACTCATTATCCTAGCACTCCCATGCAGAGGCAGGAGAAGTTTCAGCCAAGCCAAGCTATACAACAAGTTTCAGGACAGGAAGACCACAGCAAGACTCTGTCTTGAAGACCAAGGGCCAGCTCAGCTGTAAAGTATTTCCCTAGCATGTACACGGCCCTGGATAGATCCCCAATGGTCTAACCAATAAAAACCCCACATCACAAAAACTCAAGCTAGTAAAGCAAACTGCCTCCTTCTTTATTTAAAATGGCAAATGAATTTCTTCCTAGGGAAGAAAATAATTTGGTTTCATTTTTCTAAATTATGTGTGAACCACAATGAAATGGCTTTTAGTAACACCAACGAAGTCAAGATGCTACAGTGGTCACATACTTTTATCTTCCTGGCCCTTGAAGAACACATCAAGGCTGGACCTGGGGGCCCTTGCCTGAAATCTCAGTTCTCAGAGAGGCTGATGCAGCTAGGGCTATATAGTAAAAGCCTGCTGCTCAAAGACAGAAAAAAAGAGGGGGAGGGATAAAAAGAAAATAAATGAGAAACACACTAACGATGACAAACACAGCCATAATACACACAGCCACACTTAAATGCTGATTTGAGGACTTTGAATCTCTTTTTTCTTTTTAGACAAGGCCTCATGTATCTGGACTTGCCTCCAACTTGCTATGTATGAGAGGACGACCCTGAACTTCAGATCCTCCTGCCTCTACCTGTTAGGACTACAGATGTGAACCACTATGTCTGGTATAGATCTTCGTGCACATTAGTCAAGCACACCATAATCTGAGGTACACCCCAGTCTTCGGTTTGGGGGTGGTTTTTTCACTCCAAAATTTCAAAAATGGGGAATCGTGATTTTCTTTCAGTATTTCAATGTTTTTTTCTTTTCTTTTTCCTTTTTTTTGTCTTTTTGAGACAGGGTCTCCCTGTAGCCCCAGATGGCCTGGAACTCGCTATGTAGACCAGGATGACCTCAAACTCACAGAGATCTGCCTGCCTCTGCCTCCCCAGTGCTGGGACTAAAGGTGTGCGCCACCACACCCAGCTTTGCAGTTTCCTTTCTATACTTAATGTTTTCATCCATCCAAATTGTATCAGGTTTAAAGTGTAAGGTCATATTTTAACTTTTCTGATTCTGCTGTGAGCTAGTGGCTGTCTCACACATCATACTGGGCAGTTACTGTCGTTCCAGTGTTTATGCTGAAGCTGGCAACCTGACTCAGTTCTCTCACAAAGTTTAACATGGTTTCTCTGGGGAAATCAATGTAACAGTCATCTCATACATAATGACAAGTCTGTTTTCTTTCGTGCAGTTCTTGTTTCTTTCTCTTGGGCTAACACAACAGCTAGAAGAGGTGCTAACTAATAAAGCTGATAGTTGGTTAGCTGGTGTTGTTTGGTTTCTGAGTTCAGTAGCAAGATTGCTAGGGTTTAAGTTATAGAACTGTTTGAATAGGATACCTTATGGGATGTTTTTGATAGCCTACTTCTCTTTCAAAGACCCGTATGAATAGCTAAATAGATTAGGCAAGCATACAGGATGAGTTGCAAGTTAGGAAACTTTTGTCTTTATAAATGGGCACTTATTTTCATAGTTTACCATTATTTTGCAGTCTTCTGTTTTATGAAACCTTTTCCTGATTACTTATGGCAAGGCTACGGCACAAGCAATAAAAGCTAGACCCAATAGAGCCCTAAAACATCTGAATGAATGAAAATGAATCAATTAGCCTTCAAATTGGTTTACAGAACACAATGCAAAGCTTTCCTTGGATAGCAAAATTCTGCCTTGTTTCAAAAGACACCCATGCTTTTTACTCTGCACACCACACACACACACACACACACACACACACACACACACACACACAGGTAAATTCTAGAAAATAAGCTGAAACTTTAGGTATAACCAAAAATAAATAACAAGAAAGAGGCAATGATGAATAAAAGCAGCAGCTAAGCACTGGACAGCGAGGAGAGGAAGCCCGCCTCACCTGCACTCCGACCTGCAGCTCTTTGTCCAGGAGTGCTCTCTTTTTCAGGATCTCAGCTTTGAGCTGTTCCTTGTGTTTGAAGAGCAGAGCAGAGAGCTTGCTAGCATTCTGCTTGCTCCGTTTCTGTTCCACACTCTCTTCACGCTTCCGTTTCTTTGCTGCTTGTTTTTCTTCTTTATCTATCTTATCCAAAATATACTTCATCACCTGGTTACAGACAATCATTCTAGAGAAAAACACACAACCTATGAAATGCTGCGAGTTTCATTCTGAAAGGTTTAAGACATGAATCTTCTACGTCCCTCCAGATGATGGACAAACTAACTGCGACTGCAAAGTTGCAAAAAGTGACCCAACCTATTAAGAGCAACTACCACTGAATGCCGATGAAAGAAAACCAAAGCTCAGCACTCGAGTGCCTGTGTCTCTCCCTACCTTTGATTCTCTTCTCTTTCAGCTGGAGTCATGGTCTTTTTCTGTTTTAAATGTTCTATTACAGCATTGTGTTTCATCACCACCTTTAGGACAGAACAAATCTGTAAGTGCACATTTTATAACCAACACAAGTCAGTACACAGGAACAGCATACACCAGTTTTCAAAGAAATGGTAAGAATTTTGTACAAATAATAAAAAGAATTCAAGCTGCTAGGTGTCCCAGGTGCTCACCCTGTGCTGGGCACTGAATGAAGCCAAGCACCTGACATGATCTTTTCTTCATCGTAACACTGAATCATGGGGAGACTTTGTCAAATGAAAACCAAGACACACACACAAAAAACTTGTTTGAGATTAAATAATAAGTAACACAGCTTAACTTTTCACCCAACTCTCATTTCCAAAGGCTTTGACCCATCATGTTGCCTTCTGGGTGTTGATTTTAGACAGTTCCCTGCCCCATACAAAGATCTGGAAGACAGACAGGTACTGGAACAATCCTCAGTAGACACTGAGAGCTGGGAAATCATGCATTTCAACAAGTCACATGAGTTCAATTTTATAGGAAGAAGAACTTACATCTTTACAATCAAACACATGACCTCATTTAATCGTAATAATCTTGTATGGCTAGAAAGAGAGGAGTTTTAATGCGGTTACAGCTCAGAGGACAGAATGGTGGTAACATGAAGCCTACATGCTACCTATGCTATGGCCTCATGCTGAGGGGGCATGCTACAGGTTACCTCACCATATGACAGAATGTGACTTTAGTGCAATTCTAGGTCATCTAAAGTGACTGACTCCACTCAGAAGCTACTCCAAGGTGTCCTTGTTCCATGCTACCACCTCACATGGTTATAGAAATTTGGGTTTAAAACACTTTTACAAAGGTGTGGAAAGTAATGCAAATGAATTCAGTCTGCCTAAAGTGTGCTCAGTCCACAGGCAAATGAAGAATGACAATTGCAAATAACATCAAATGAATCACTGTGATGTCTGAAAATGGCCTTGACAACTCGGTCAAACTTCTAAGTTTTCTATCAGTGATACTTAAACTCAGGCTTCCAACCTTTTCATCTTAGTTCTCCCCAGAAAAAGGTGGTTTCTAATAAGCACTGACACTGAATGTCCAGTAAGGAGTTCCAAACCAGCATCATCAAGCAATGTTTGTGGTCCACTCACTGCCTCTTCTAAGTTTAGCCACCAATGACTTTGGCTCATTTAGGAAACCTAACACAACCAAACCACTAAGTCTACTGCACAGCACAATAATTTAAGCTACTGAACATGCTGCTTTGACTTAATAAATTTACCTGTTTCTGAATGATTTCACTTTGGTTAGAATCTTGGAGGATGTGTTCATGCTTAATTTCTATCTGTTGCTGCTTCTTCTTTTGCTGCTGATCCCTGAATTGCTGAACCCTCTGCAACTGCTCTTGCACACTGGCTGCCTGCACTGTAACCACATTCTGAATCTGGTGAGTTTGCACAGCACTGTTTTGCTGAATTTGAATAGGTAACTGCAGTCTGATTTGCTGGGGCATACCACCTTGCTGAGCCTGTATCTGAGCCACAACCTGCAACTGGATCTGAGAGAGAACCTGGACTTGTTGCAGCTGAGGCACAGCAATGACTTGGGGCTGCGGCTGTTGTATTTGTAGCTGAGGATGGGATGGGAACGAAACAGTAACTTGATTTAACGTTTGTCCTGACGAAAGAGTTTGAGTTGAAGACTGTACCTGGGGCTGAGACTGTGGTTGGCCTTGGGAAGGTGTCTGCAGAGATGCAGGGGGTGGAAGTGGACTCGGCTGTGAGGTTGTAGTCTGAACCTGGTGTTGCTGTCCAGGAGTCACTTGGGATGGAGTTGATGGACGTATTCGAGTCAGTGGCGGACTCTGGACACGAACAGGAGATTGTCCTTGGACACTGCTTTGAGGCTGCCACTGTGCTGCCACTTGGGGTTTGGATGACTGTGCTTGGGTGGGCTGTGCTTCAGAAGGGACATGGGACGAGACAGCTGTCTGGGTCTGGACCTCAGGCAGGGTCTGGACTTCAGGCTGAGCTGGGGGCTGGGGCTGGGGCTGGGGCTGCACTGCAGGCTGAGCAGTCTGTGGCTGGGCCTCTGCAGGGCTCACACTCGATGGCTGAGCTGGTGCCAAGGTTTTGGTTGGTTGCACTTGGGTCTGGGGTAGTAGTTTACTCTGTTTTTGTTCACTTGAACCTGTGAAAAGGAGACACAATGACTTCCCTGACTTTAGAATGGAAGGCCACAGTCAGGGAAGAGGCTGAAGGGATTTTTCTCAAGCTGAGAATTGTGTATTTCAGTAGAGAAGATGTAAGCCTTCCACTCAGGCACACTTAGGCTAGGACTCTGCTGGGCTGGGGAACCCAGCTTTAACCATTTTCTGGATGCTCTCTGTATCTTCTCCAACACTCCAGAACTTTCAAAGTAAGGCTAGGTGTTCTGAGACAGACTCTATCAAGCCTCACTTTTTTATGGCATGTAGGAGGAGGGTGACAAAGTGGTCTGGGCCTGTAGCTTTCAACCACAGTTATGAGCTACTAGATGGGTTTACCTTCCCTGAACTCACCTCCAGGATTCTACGGAGGCTGGCAAGGAATGTGTAGGCCCAATTATCATGGTATCCATTATTTTGCTCCCCTTTTCTATGCTATTTTTTTTGTGGGGTGGGGAGTGTGCAGAGAACCTAAGAACAAGGCATGAGGCTTGCCAGCCGAGGAGTACTCTCCTGGAGAACAGTACTGGCTACTTGCTCTGTGAGCCCAGGAACAATGGCAACAGAGAATTTTCTACCTGCTGCTGTAGTAGAGACGGTGGTGCCATTGCTGGCAGTTGTGGCTGTGGTCGCCAGTGGGGTGAAGAGAAATCGCTGGACGGTACCATTGGGCATTGCAGCCTGCATGAGCTGTTGTCCTGGCCCTGGGAGGACAGTCATCCCCTGAGGTATCAACTGCAACTGTCCAGTTGTCTGACCTTGTCCTTGAATGACTACTGTCAAACCTTGATTGCCACCCTGTGGAAAAAGTGTTCAACATGTAACACATGGTGCTCAAAGCACCAAGTTGTAAAGCGTTTTTATTAAATCATTTACACTAGAAAGATCGTCTTCAAAAACATTTTTATTTTACTTATTTTTGGTCCTTTTGAGACAGGGGTTCCCTGTAGCCCTAGTTGGCCTAGAACTTGCTACGTAGACCAGCTGGCCTTGAATGCACAGAGATCCACCTGCCTCTGCCTCTTGAGTGCTAAAAATTTTTTAGTATTTTTATTTTGAATTATGTTTATATGTGGATATGTGCCCATGGAAGCTAGAAGAGTAGAAATTCCCAGGAGCTGGAGTTGTGGGTGGTTGTGAACCATCCAACATGGTTGCAGGGAGTTGAACTACGGTCCTTTGGAAGAATAGTGCATTCTCTTAACCAAAAAGCCATCTCACCAGCACTATAAAGATCGTTTAACACATGTGAGTGTCAATGTGATAATACCAGAAAATCTTAGATAAATTAAAGTAAGGGTATTTATGTTGCACAGTGGAAAAAACATTAACATTCAGAGTTTCAGTCAAAATTCCCCACAAGAATAGCCAGGTACCTATCTACAAGCTATCACTTCTCCAGAATCAGTTTAATCCATTTATAAAATAAAAACACTGAGGAGTTAGAGAGCTGGACGGCTCAGTGGTTAAGAGCACTGTCTGCTCTCGCAGAGGACCTGGGTTCAATTCTCAGCACCCACAAGTGGGTAACAACTGCCTGTGACTCCAGTTACAGGGGCCTGGTGCCCTCTTTTGACCTCTGCAGGCATTGCACGATATGGGTGAACTTACATACATGCAGGCAGTACACTCATACATATAAAATCAAATAAAAATTAATTAAAGGTATTGAGTAGGTATTGATCCCAGCACTCAGGAGTGTGAGGTCAGCCCAGGCTATAGAAAAAATCCTGCCTCAAAAATATCCTTGCCCCTGCCCAAAAGTGTGATGTGGCTTCTATGAGAGACAGAGACAGAGATTGGTAAGTAGGTGGGGGTCGGGGGGACAGGGACAAATACTGTAGCCCATCACGGCCTGGTATTAACTATGTAGCCTAAGCTGGCTTTGGATTCAGGCAATCCTCTTTTATCAGCTTCCTAAGTACAGGTAGCATAGATGATGGCCACCATGCTCAGATCAAAATTCTTATATTTCAATTGATTATTTTTATGTGTGTGTGATTAAGTCACTTTTTTAAAAAAAAATTATTTATTATTTTTATTTTATGTGTATGCGTGTATTGCCTACATGTAGGTAAGTGCATCCCTGTTGTGCAATACCTGCAGAAGACTGTCAGATCCCTTGGAACTGGAGTTACGGACAGTTGTTAGCTGCCATATGGGTGCTAGGATTTAAACTCGGGTCTTTTGCAAGAACAGTCGGTGTTCTTAACCACTGCGCGCTCTCTCTCCAGCTCCAATAAGAATCCCAGAAAAATCTAGAGCTCACTATGTAGACCAGGCTGACCTTCACCAGACAGTGATCCTCCTGCCTCCTGAGTACAAGGAGTTTAGGCATCTGCTGTTATGCCCAGTCAAAATTCTTAGTTTAGATGGAGTCTCACATAGCCAAGGCTGGCCTTGAACTCCTGATCCCCTTGCCTCCATCTCCCAACTGCTAGGATTGTTGGTGTAAGCCACCGCACCTGACACCCACATTATTACTTTATACCATCCTATATTCACATTATTTGGTAATTTTTTCTTTTTCTTAAAAATATTTTATTTATTAATTATTTTATTTATTAATTTATTTTATGTGTATTCGTATATTGCCTGCATGTAGGTAAGTGCACCTGTGTGATGCAATGTCCACAGGGAACAGAAGAGGTTGATGGATCTCCTGGGACTGGAGTTATGGACAGTTGTTAGCTGCCATGTGGGTGCTGGGATTTGAACCTGGGTCTTCTGCAAGAACAGTTAGTGTTCTTAACTGCTGAGCCATCTCTCCAGGCCCCATTTGGTAATTTTCAAAAAGCGCTTACATATGTTGTCTCTCATCTCAATCTGACGTAGACTGAAGACTTGGAAGTAGCAGAGCAAATATTAGTTACTATACAATTATTTATTCCCAATTAAGAAATTCAGAAAAGTCAAGTCCTAACCATGTTGGTGGCACAGATGTTCAAGGCTATCGTGAACATACAAAAAAACAAGGGCCGAGGATAGAGATGGCTCAGTGGTTAAGAACACTGGTTGCTCTGGCAGAGAGAACCCTGGTTTGGTTCTGAGCAACCACGTGGTGGCAAACAACCATCTGTAACTCCAGTTCCAGAGGATCCAACGCCCTCTTCTGGCCTCCATGGGCACTGCACGCATGTGGTGCACTTACATAAGCAGGCAAAACATTTATACACATTAAAAAAACAAAACAAAATACAACAAGGGCTCGGAGTTGTACTTGTCTAGCATTTACAAGGTTCCGAGTTCAATCTTTAAATGCAGGAAAAGAAATGAAAAAATTTCCCATAACCAGAAGTAAGGTGTGAGAATTAGAACTGAGTTGTCCAGTGCTTGCTCCTTTTTTCCTCCTCTCAGTATGTACCAAATTTCCTGGGGTCTGTGTGCACATGTGCAGAAGTGTAAGTATTGTGTGGTGTTGAACTAGAATCTGAGGCCTCTTCTACAAGCTGGAGCTGAGAGAGCACTTTGCCCCTGAACTGCAGCTGTACTTTCTTAGAGGTTCAGAAACAGAACACGACAACTGGAAGTCAGAACTACTAAGGTGCAAGTAGTTACAAAAACGGGGACCAGAAAGAGAGCTCAACTACTGTCTCTTCTGCCCAAATCCTATTTATTCAGCAAATCTGACTGTCAAGACCAAGTATGTGACAAAGAATTAGGAAGCCAAAGTAAAAACAAACTGAAAACTCTCCATGGCCTAGGCCTATGATGTCTGTACTGAGCTCCATATACTTGAGTCACTTAAGGAATACCGAGTTTTGTTTTTCTAAAAAATATCCTTCTTGTGTATGTTCAAAACTACACAAATACCACCAGTCTGATGATCACAGCAGCACCCAGGAATCCCCATGCAATGTGTCTTGACTAAAACTCTTTTCTGTAGAGCAGACACTGTGTTCTCTTTTATAACACTGTACCTCATTGCATGTACTGCTGAGGGTCTTATCTTTCTGTGGTCACTGGGAATCTGCACACTGGAAGCAATATTCATGTAGAATGATGACAATGGCCGTTCTCAAAGGAATGAAAGAGCCCTGTATCCCTATACAGTGTAGCTAGCTCATTTTGCCTATTTCTAAATTTTAAAATTAACAGATTAATATACAGGGTCTCACTATATTCTTGGCTGGCCTGGAACTCTCTACATAGACCAGGCTGGCCTTGAACTCAGAGATAACCTGCCTCTGCCTCTTGAGGTGAGTGCCACCACACCCAGTCTGTTTTTGAACATTTCACAAATGGAATCATAATGTTATTTGCTTTAAACTATCTCACCATTTTATCAGTGAGAGTCATTTCTGTAAGTCTGTGCAGCAATGCATAGCTCATTTCTGTTGTATCAGTAATGATACACTTGACTGTCTAAATTACCAGATAGGCATTTTGGTTGTTTCTAAGTTACTAACTCTTATGAACAGTGCTGCTATGAATACTTGTATCCATATGCTCTGGTGCTCACAGGATCAGGAAGCCCAGGGGGTTTCCAAAGTGGGTGAAGCAAGTAACACTTACTGGCTATGCATGAAATTTCATTCTGTTAAATTCTGGTTTTGGTGATGGACATTTAAATTTCTTCTTTCTAAATTCATTTCATCCAGGTAGTATGAAAGAGCACTCTGTGCTCTTAACCGCTCAGTTATCTCTCCAGCTCCTTGTCTGCTCCTTTTGCTGTTGTTCTTCCTTATTCTTATTCTCCCCACCCCCGTCTCTCTGTGTGTTTTTGTGTGTGTAGGGAATGTATTGGGAACAGAATGTAGGGACCCATACCTGCTAGGTAGGTGCTCTACCACTGAGCTATATTCCAAATTCTGCACTTCATTCATTCATTATTTCACATGTAATAGTGTCTTGCCAATATATATGTGTATTATGGACCATATGAGTACCTGGTGTCAGAGGAGGGCATCAGACCCCTGAAACTGGACTTTCAGACTCTTGTGAGCCACCATATAGTTGATGGGAACTAAACCTGGGTCCTCTATGAGAGCAGCAAGTACTCTTAATTGTTGAGGCATCTGGCCTGGAACTCCCTACTAGACCAGGCTGGGCCTCTGTCTCCCAAGGCCTAGGATTAAAGGCAGGTGCCACAATGCCTAGCTGGTGCTGGGGAGCTTCACTTAGGTCACTAGGCTTGTAGAGCAAGCACTTTCCCCACTGAGCCATCTCCTCAGCCCCTACATTAATTCTCTGTATGTTCTGTACAGCAGTCTATGTTTGGGATTAAAGGCATGCCACCAGCATACCTGTTGATCCAGTGTACAGATCAAACCCCATGACTTTGTGCATACTGCATTAAGTACTCTACCAATTGAGCTATATGGCTAATTCCTGTTTTAAATTTTTCATTTGTTTTTTTTTTTAGTGTGTCTATGTGTTTGTGCTCACCCATTTGTGTGCATGTGGAGCTGAGAGGATAACACTGTCTTGCTTTACAACTCTCTGCCTTATTTATTCATTTTTATTTATTTTTGGTCTTTTTGAGGCAGGGTCTCCTTGTAGCCCCAGCTAGCCTTGCACTTGCTATGTAGACCAGGCTGGCCTTGATCTCACAGAGATCCATCAGCCTGCCTCTGCCTCCCAAGTGCTGGGATTAAAGGTATGAGCCACCACACCTGGCTTTTTAAAATATTTCATCTAGGATTTTTATTTAATTTCATGTGTATGACTGTTTTTGCTGAATGTATATTGGGTCCTTTGGAAGAACACTATGTGCTCTTAATCACTGAGGTAGCTCCAGCCCCAGCATAAGTTTTGATATCAGGTTGTACACGAGGCAAATCCTCTTTCCCTTTAATAGTGACATAGTCATTAGATGGACATGGTTGGCTTACCCAATGAAGCAGAGGCAGAGACAGAGGTAGGTGAATATCTGTAAGATCAACACTGGTGTACATAGGGAGTTCCAAGCCAGCTGGGGCTATAGAGAGACCCTGTCTGAAAACAAGCAAATAAACAAAAAAACCATAGCTATTACTGGTGGTTGTTATCATATGCCATGGTAAAACTCAGGATGTGAAGAGCCGCAAAAAGTGGGCTTCAGGGAACTTGGGATTTTGACAGTGGAAGACTAGACAATAATATTGTAACTTCCAAGCAATCGGCTTAATGCCCCCAAATTTTGTTTTTCCTATGAAAAGTGGCCAACTAATAAAAAAAAATTTGGTAGTTGAAAAAGTTATCCCTTTTCATTGGTATAGCTTCCAATCTAAAGGACTACAGATAGTGGACATTATATCCTGCCAATAAATATTCTTGTTGGACTCCAGAAGGCAGAAACTTCTTTAAGTATATTTTAGAATTTACTACTGGAGAGTAGGGGGTTAAGAGCACTGGCTGCTTTCGCAGAGGAATGGGGTCAAATCCCAGCACAAACATGGTGGCTATCAACAGTGTAATTCTAGTTCCAGGGACTCTTCTGGCTTCTGAGGGCATTGCATGGCATGGGTACACACATAAAATACACATACACATAAAATCAATATTAAGAAAAAAATTTAGGGGCTGGAGAGATGGCTCAGTGGTTAAGAACACTGACTGTTCTTGCAGAAGACCCAGGTTCGAATCCCAGCACCCACATGGCAGCTAACAACTGTCTGTAACTCCAGTCCCAGAGGATCCGACAGCCTCTTCTGTCCTCCACAGGCACGACACAGGTGCACTTACATACATGAAGGCAATATACACATACACATAAAATAAAAATAAATAAAATTAAAAAAAAAAAGTTTAAAATCTACAGGTATATGTGAGATGTCGGCCATGGTGGTACATGCCTTTAATCCCAGCCTTCAGGCAACAGAGGCTGGTCTACACAGGGAGTTACAGGCCATTCAGGGCTACATAGTGAGGCCCTGTCTCAAAACAAAAAAGTAAACGAAAACCAAATATAAGCTTAAAAAAAAAAAAAAAAAAGCTTACAGTAATCACTTCTTGGCCTTTTGCCTAAGATCAAATGTAAACTTATAGCAAAAATAGTAACACTAAGCTGGGTGTGGTGGCACACGCCTTTAATCCCAGCACTCGGGAGGTAGATCTCTGTGAGTTCAAGGCCAGCCTGGCCTACATAATGAGTTCCAGGACAGCTGGGGCTACAGAGACCCTGTCTTAAAAAGACTAAAAAAAAAGTAAGACTGCCTCTCAAGTTAAAGTTACTTACGTGGCCCTGTGTTAACTGAGTGAGCTGAGCCATGGTAAGCTTCACCTGCCCTTGCTGGGGGCGAGGGGTCGGTGGGGCTGAAGTCGGTAGAGTACCAGCTGGTGTTCCTGGAGTTAAGGCTTTCTGCCCAGGTGATGAGGAAGCCGCACTCGGGGCAGAGACTGCAGTGGAAACAGGCTGTCCTCGGATGATCTGCGTCACCACTTGTTGGGGAGCCCCTGCAGAAGGAGCAAGACAACCTTACTGCTCACATGCACTTAGCACACTTTGAATTAAACATGCTTGGCACTTCAGATGAATACACCTCATTTCAGTCTTCAAACAGATACTTGGATGCCAATAACCCAAACATAGGATCACAGCCAAAGGACCTGCCTGGGTGGCAATTCGTCTATTTCTCCTCTGCTCATGGACAAATGCTATCTAGCTCAACTATCCACAGTAAAGAAACAACAAAGTCAAAGTGACAGAGAATGCATCACAGAGTACAAAACATGTCATGTGAAGCTGTTTTTTCTTAACATTAGACTGAAAAGGTCATAGGTACTGAATTCTACTTGAATTTTACTGGAGAAAAGAATTCTTTTGACTTTATTCTGTGAGATAGGGACTCATGTCTAGGAACTCTTTGTAGTTGAGGACCTTGACTTCTGATCTTACTGCTGGGATTACAGATGTGATAACACACCTGGCAAGATATTTAAAAAATATGCTGGGTGGCTGTGCTCACGCACACACAAGCTTCTCTTCCAGCTATTAGACAGGTGGTTTGGGAGAAGCAGGAGGGCAGAAAGCACAGCAAGCTCAACACTTTCACAGCGACTGTTCATTAAATGATCACTGGACTTAAGCTGAAGACGGAAATCCCTGCGGCACCCAGCAAGCCGAACTGGGAGGAATGACACAGTTTGAGGCCAGCCTGGGCTATATAATTAATTCCAGACCAATCTGAGCAATATATGAGACAGTGTCTAAAATGTCAAGTCAAAACCATCTCCCCCCAAATAAATAGGAATAAAAAGGTTAAGTCGACACCCTCCCCTGATGGGAAGAGCAATTACTTGATAGGTACCTTAACATTTAGACTCTTACTAATCAATGAGGAACATTAAATTTTTCAAGATGTGTATTTCCTGTCTTTTTTCTTTCTGTGAGTACTTATGTATAGATATTAAATTTCTTTAATAATGAAATGTTTTGTAAACAGGTGAAGGTGAATGTTCTTTGATATTTAGAATACTTTCCCTTATTGCCTTGATAAACTTGCATGTTGAAATCCTTGCTTGAAAACGTTTCCTTAGACTACATTTTCCAAAACTATTACTAAGCTTGTTGCAGCAATGTAATGAACCAATGTTAAAAAAGGCACACCAATGCACATGCTCACTACCTCTGATGGCCAGTCTCAAACCCTGAATGACTCTAGCAATCAGAATGTCACAGTATTTCACTGCCTGAATCTTCTCACTACCCAGAAAGAATGAGCATTAAAATCTGTGCTGTCTCAATCGTGAATGTTTCTACATTGTCTGCTCATTCTCCACTTTGCCCTGCACAGCCTAGAACTCTATGTAGACCAGGCTGGCCTTGAACTCACAGATATCCACTTGCCTATGCTTCCCAAGCACCAGGATTAAGGGAATATAGCATCACACCTGACAAAAGATGTTTCTTAATACTGTACTTTCCCTACTCTGTCATCTGTCTTTCAATTTTATTTCTAAGCCCATAAATATTTTTAATGATCTGACTCCCCCAGCCCACCCACCCTCCATTACTGCTTACAGGGCTCTAGTACATTCTTGCAGTCTCTCATCAGCTACGTCTTGGGGTTTTCTTTGTCAGAAGTATAAGCCAAGTATTCCAGGAAGATTTAGTGATTCACGATAATACTTTCTTTGACATGCATTAAATTCTAAAATATGATGGTTTATAAACGCATCTATGTGCATGGTTTCCTGGGAACAATGCTCCTAACTTTGGTGGCTTTATGATACAACTTAAATCTGCAAGGAATATTTTCCATTACTACTCTTTATAAATTTTGGGGGTAATTCTCATCTGTTTACTCAAGGTGTCTCACGATATTTAGGGTGCTGGGAGGCTTTAAATTTGAGAGCTTCTGGACTCCAAGTATCCATGCGCTACAGTTTGGGGGAAATACATGAAAAGATATCATTTTAGTTTATCATCTAGTTTTGCTATACTGCACCATAAACACAGGTAACAGACTGGTAATGATGAATCATATGATGATTACTAAGATAATCTAATGCACATTATCTTGGGAATATCATTAAATTGCAAATTCAAGCCTCAAGTAGTGGTGTACAACTGTGACCCCAGGATTCTAATAGTAGAGGTGTGAGGTTAACAAGTTGGTTAATATCAAGTTTAAGGCCAGCTGGAGTTACAAGATGAGACACTGCCCCCAAACAAAAACAAAAACAAAAACAAAAACAAGAAAAACCCCAAGGACTACGAATGTAGCTCAGTGGTAGAGGGGCTTGTGTTGGTCTTAAACATACAAGATCCTGGGCTCAATTCTAAGCATGCACAAAGAAACTGCTTTCTTTCTGTTTCTTTTCTCCAGTTTCGTTCTCTCTAGTTTTACTCGGGAGCTGGGAGAGGGTGTTTTGTAAGACAGTCTCACTCTGTGGCATAGGCTAGTGCCAACACTGAATTCCCTCCCCTCATTCTTCCTTCCTATAGCCTTTGTGGTAAGTGTTTTTGCATAGCTTTTTATTTTTTATACCTTTTCCAGTAGTTTTAGGATGTTTCTCATAAATATGTACAGGTACTTCAGGAGTTTTAATCAACTTTAATATTCAACTTTTTTTCTAGTGCCAGGGTTTAAACACAGGGTCTTGTAAACGCAAAGCAAGAGCTGCACCACTGAGCTACATCCCTAGGCTACAGTATTCAACTTTTAATGTGGCAGTGATAGGAACTTTACGTATTATATTTCTTAGAGATTTCTTTTACAGTTTGTAAGTAAACATGAATTTAACTTTTTGGCAAAGACAAGAATGAAGTGGATATTGGATGCATCCCACAACAGATGAGAAATTTTTTTTGCGGGGGTGGGGTGGGGGTGTCTTTTTGAGACAGGGTCTCTCTGTAGCCCCAGCTGTCCTGGAACTCAGAGATCCTCCTGCCTCTGCCTCCCTAGTGCTGGGATTAAAAGCGTGCACCACCATGCCTGGTGGTATTTTTTAATATACAGAATGCTAAATATAGGATAACTGCAGATCTCCACGGGTTGCCTAGGTAATAATGGTACAGTGAAGGCACGAGTACCTGGCTGCACCATCACAGGCGTTCGAATAATTGCCTTTCCTAGTGACGACTGCTGGATTGGAGTTCTAATCACAGTCATACCAGGGCGGATCTGAGGCCCTGTGATTACCTGTGAACAACACAAAGGACAATGAATTAAACAGCTTCAGAAATTCTAAAGTACAACAGACTTAGAATACAAGATCATTAAACATTTTATACTGGTACAAAGTCTACAGAAGTGGCAGAGAGCCTTCTCCATGACCATTCAAACTATATTAAGTTTTGGTATAAAGACAGACTTCTCAAAGTGGAAACTTTCATTCAAATGAGATCAAATGAAATTCCTCTCCATTGACGAGAGCAGCTGTCAGACTACAAGGAAAGAAGACCTAGAAGGTGTCCCTGTCCTTTGTAACTCTGGCTCAAGAAAAATGTTGACTCCTATAACCTAAAAAGTAATAAATCAAACGAGGAACCAAATATTCTTTCATAGTTAAGAAGGGAGACATCCAATTTTATGTCTTACAGGGCTTATACTGAGTTCAACTACATTAATTCAACTGTGAACCTAGAAACTTGCACCCACTTGTCTGAATATGTTAAAGCTGTAGTGAAAAGCTTCTATTAATGCAGTTATTAAAAATTTAAGAAAGTAGGGCTGGAGAGATGGCTCGGCAGTTAAGAACACTGGTTGTTCTTGCAGAAGACCCAGGTTTGAATCCCAGCACCCACATACAGCTAACAACTTCCCTAATTCTAGTTCCAGGGGAACTGACAGCCTCTTCTCTCCTCCTTGGGCGCTGCACAACACGGGTGCATTCAGGCAATACACGCATACACATAAAATAAAAAATTAAATTTTTTTAAAAGTATGATTAAAAAAATTCTTCAAAGCATAAAAATTTGCTCCTTAATAATTAGTAGATGTGAAAACCATTATCATTGAAATCTACCTGATGACTTTATATCCATGCTCAGATGCCAAGGAGCTCAGAAAGTAACCAACTATGACTAGTAATGATCTGATATATAAAAAAAAAGGAAAAAGGGAGACTAAAGAGAGCACTTCAATTCCCTATTACAGTCCAAACATTTTCAAGACCGCAGTCTTCAATTATCTCCAGAATACTGGTACCAATGAAATGTCTCTCATATGTGCACATATCAACTGAAGCATTTTTTATTCTCGTTCTCTCTCTGTCTCTGTCTCTCTCGTTTTTCCCATTCCTTCTTTGCTGTTCACTTAGCAGAGCAAGTACATTTACTAAGGAACAGAGAGAAGGACCTTGTGATGGGGCAGGAGGCGCTAAGGAGGAGCATCTCATTCTATTTCTTTTTCTCTGTGCATGTGTTTTACGTACATAGTATACCATGTGTGCAATGCCCATGGATACCAGAAGAGGGGATGGATCCCATGGAGCTGGAGTCAGCTGTCATGTGGGTGGTGGGAACTGAACCCAGGTCCTCTGCAAGAGCATCCAGTGCTCTTAATGACTGAGCATCTCTCCAGCCTAATTCTATTTCTTTGGGATGGACACCATATTTCCTTCCACTGGTTTATGTACAATTTTCTTTAGAAAACACTGGCAAGTAATAACTATTCACAAACTATACCAAATGTTAAAATATATCCTGTATCAGCAATACTTATCAGAAATATTTTTTTTTAAAAATCAATTTTTTCCAAATTGGTACTTCTTCATAGATCCAACCAAAGGGAAGAAAAATTAGCTGGATAAATGCTGAGAGAAGTCATTTTAACACATCATCCTGATGTGCTCAACACCCCAAAACAGACAGCCTGCAAAGAACTCTTACTTGTGAGGTGGTGGTGGTTCCTCCAGAGGCTGAGCCATTAGGCCTAATCGTGACGGTTGCTGTCCTGGGCTGGAATGAAGTAAAGGTTTGCTGACTTGGACCTGTAGTTGATGGAATGATGCCCAGAACTTTCTGCTGTACTTGGACAACGCCTTAAAAAAAGATGAAGAAGGCATGAACAATCATCCCTTTGAGGAAAAGCAGGACATGTTGCTTGGTTTCTGAGGAGAAACTATGTGTGGCAGGGATTCATACTGGGATACACAGAATGTGCGATCTGACGACGGAATCAGTGAAGAGGGAATGAAGAATGGTGACAGTATGATCTGGCGAATGTGAACTCAAACTCTTCACGTTTCCCTTACCTCCTTGTGTTGCCGGCACATTTACAGCGACAATCTTGCTGTTTGCAGGAAGTGGCAGTTTGGTAATTACTTTTCCTGCCACAGTGACGGGATTGCCTGTAATTTGGAACGTCTGACCTGTGCTGGCAATGGTGGTAGCAGATGTGGCGGCTGTGCTGGTGGCTAATGGGGTATAAGACATTTAATAAACTTTAGATTTAAAATAACCAGCAGCATAGTGATGTCTAGGGAGGGCACCAACGCATGAAATGTGGCTCATTTGTATTCTTAATAAAACATTCCTCTCTAAGCAAGTGCACTCTGTGGATGTTGAGGTGAAAGGACGGATAAGCAGCAGTGCTACAGAATATCATGGACAGCACCTGTAACAAACCAGCCTCACAGCTTCAAGAAATGGTGCATTTCCATAGGGAAAGGGCTAACGATGTTTTCTGTGACGGAAAACAATGGTCTTGTTTAGTCATGGTACCTGAATTGGATTGGCCTTGCTTCACCCATGTGGCAAAGGTTTGATGGAAGTTCTTGTTTTGCTGGAATGTGACTGTGGCTGGAGATCCAACTTTGGTAGCAAGGACCATTTTAGTTCCAGGGGTGACTGAGCCACTCAGTGGAGCCACCATAACTTTCTGAGCTGGAGAGATGGTGCTGGTTGTACTGTTTGTTGGGGATGTGGTAGAGGTTGCGATGACTGCAGGTTTCTGCTGCTCCAACCGCTTCTATACAAGGCAGGGGGAGGATGGAAGTGGAAGTGTTCTAAATCAAAAAATGCCTTTCTGCCCAAAGTCCAGCCACAATACCAGCACCCTAAGAAACTGCATGGATTTCCGGGATGTCTAACTTCCACAGAGACGATATGCCCATGCAAATTTACCCCTGAATTTCTTCACAAAGGTACTATTTCGAAGTCTCTATACCATAAGTTTGTTCACAAACAAAAAAATTAAAACCATCAAAATGTTCTGTCTATCCAATACTCAGTTTTCAGCATGACGACAAAGCTGAGTCATTTTAGAGACAGAACACCATGCTGCTCAGTGTGGACTTAGCCAAAAGAAAGTACGGGGCTTCTCTTGTATTCTGGGAGCTCGGATTATCGACTCTTAAACAACATGATGGTATTTTCTAAACAATTCAAGCTGGCAAACATGCAATCAAGCAGGATGAAAACTGCAAAACTATTTTGAGACTTTGTTGTTTGTTTGTAGACAGGGTCTCAATCTGTAGCCCAAGCTGACTTGGAATTTACTATATAGCTCAGACTGGTCTTGAACGGGTCCCTGCCTCAGGCTCCCAAGTACTAGGATTACTTTATACACTATGCAATTCAAGAATTTTTTCATAAAAGTACGTTAGAGTCTTTTATACTCAAGGGACTAATCTTTGTAAAACCACAGGGTTACTAGGGGTGTAGCTCAGTTGGTAGAGTGCTTGCCTAGCACATTAAAGGTTCTGGGCTTAGTACTCAGCAATGCAAGAAAAAATTGAAGATAAAATAAAGAACTGGGTGTGGTAGGCACACTTGTAGGCCCAGCTCTCAGGAAGTAGAGCCAGGAAGACTGAGAATTCAACCTGGGCTACATAGCAGAACCGTCTCTAAGAAACAACCCAGATCAAACCCAAACAAAAACAAAAGAGATAAATAAAAATATCACCAGTAGTCACTAAAGGTGAGCAAACTTAGGCTTAGACAGGTTGTACAAATGACCTTAGGGCACAGTGCTAGCTCACAATGGAGGTGTGATTAAGTCCACTAAGATCCAATCAAGAGGGTACGACAGGAGGATCGCCATCCTGAATTTGAGGATGGCCTGAGATAAACAGTGACACTCTGTCCCAAAACAACAAACAAGAGCTGGGCAGGATGGCTCATGCCTGTAATCCTACCACATGGGAAAATGAGAGAGGACTTTGAGGACAGCTTGGGCTACATAATGAGATTCTGGCCAGTCTGAGTTACAGTAATACAGTGTCTGTCTCACAAGACAAAACCAAACTCTACTAAGACCAAATTCCATTTCTGGACTATTTTTTGCACACAGCCCATGTACTTGATGATAATGTAAAGTACTTCATACAGATGCTCATTTATCAGAAGGGAAGTTGTTCAGTTTTGCATGCTTAGAGATGTCATCTGACTGAAGCAAAGAAACAGAATACATATTGAATACTGATTTACTGAGAGGATATGCCCTCAAAACCGAAAGTGCTACTTGAAAAGAAATACAGATGCGACATTAGGTATGTTAGAGATGAGAAAATACACCTATCAAACGAAAAACAAAGCAACCAGCCAGTTGTTAATAGGACAAATGCTTTTGATTCCCAAGAAATTGTCCATGACAGAAATATGTACAGAATCCAAAGGCTGTTCTCTCAAATTTTAAGTGAAGAGAAAGATCTACAGTAAACTGAAAGATATGTAAGAATTTGAAAAATACTTAATAAAACTTAAGAAAAAAGAACCTTGGATCAAAAACTTTGGGTTACAGAATTAATATTAAGTGAGTTTATAAAATTTTGTAAATGCTATAGATTTGTAGAATGTGTGATTTTAAATATATTCTTATCTGTATCCTTTAAGTATATATGTTCAATAGAAATAAGCATCTTTTCAATTTCAAATATGTTTCCCATATGGAAATGCCAAAAAATATCAAGTCTCACTATCATGCATTATAACAAACTCAGCCCCTTGGCACAGCTGATTTTGCATAGACTACAGAGTTGTTCACATTTGAATTTGCCAGGAAAAAATTTCTGGAACCTACCCAAAAAATTAATGGTAATAAATAGAAATTTTATCATACTTTCATGTATCAGAGATATTTTCAAGCAATGAAATATGAAGTACATTTGAAAAATATCCATCATGAATATATAATCCCTGGGCATCTGCCGTGCTTGAATCTGGCTGCTGTCCAGTGGCCCATGGTGGCTCCCCGTCCCGGCCTTGATCCCCCACCACCTTCTTTAACTGACCTTAGTCTGCTGCTCGACTGCTTGTGCCTTTTCTTTCTCCACTCTGCAGAAAAAAAAAGGAATACCTTATACAAAAGCACAGATCTATTTCCATTTTAAAGATAAACGTTAATTAGAAACTTGTATGCAAATATTTTAAAAAGATTAATTAAAAGGAACTGAGGTATAACATCAAAAGTTAGAAAACAGAACCTTAATAAATTATCCATAGCTAGTACATAAAATTAAAAGCTGAAGTAAAATTAGCCAGAATGTACCAAAACGGACTATTAATGAGAATTCTCTGCTTCTGAAGCACTAAAACGTCTGAAGAGGAGTTAACCTTTGGATTACCTCTCAGCAAAAGCCCTGATCTCCCACAGCTCCAGCTCTTCTTCTGCTACCCAGGTTTCAATAATAACAGGGCCAGTCTGCTTGGGTGTTTCTGGCCTCTTTGGCCGCAATGCACTTGAACGAAGGCCTTTCCGCTGAGGTGTAGGTGTTTCTTTAGAAAAATCAGAGTATATTCAGGAATGTATGTTTTAGAAATAGAGAACCTTCTGACATCTCATCTAGTGAAGCACAATCTCTCCTCCTGCCTCCCCCAACAAAACTTTTCCTTCTTAACGGGCCAGATCCTGTAAACATTTATGACTGAGTAGGCTAAATGGTCGATAGGAAGAAGCAAGACGGCACTTGACTGAGTTAAGTGTGGCAGTGTTCCAATCAAACTTTGTTTGGAAAAAGCAGGCAGTGGTCAAGGCTCATGGGACGTGGCTTACTCACTCTGATAAAAAGGCCTGTGAGCCTTTATCCTACCCCTTTCTTGTGCCTTGAATTCTAATCCTAATCCCCAATCCACACATGGTCAAGAGCAATTCATACTTTGCACCCCAACATCCAAACTATTTCTTTAAAACATTTATGAACCATCCCTGAATCTCTGGAATAAAGCTGACTTGATCATGAAAAAAACAAAAAAACCCAACATTTAGCATGTTGGCGATTCTCTAGGAGGAAAGCTGAGCTGTGACACTGAGGAAGGAAACCCCAACACGCCCGGCAATACTCTGCCCAGAATCACTTTGGATGGCTTCCCCTTAGCCCAGTGAAATTTTGAAATGCCAAGGGGTCAATAAAAAAGAGACAGAGGCACCCTGGCAGGGAGAACATTCCCTACCCTGACATATAGTGTACAGCAAGCTGAGGCACAGCAGGGTGGCCATCTTTGAGAGGCTCACCAGGAAGTGAACAGCCCACGAAGAAGGGGGTTCCTTGCTCCTGCCTTGTTTGCTCTGCTCCTTGATTTCTTTCTCCCTAACAGCCCTTTATGTTTCATTTTGTTTTGAGACAAGGTCTCTTCGTGTAGTCCCAGCTAGCCTGGAACTGGCTACACAGACCAGGCTGGACTCAATTTCACAGAGATCTGCTTATCTCTGCTTCCTGGCTTTAGTTTTTTTTTCTTGAGACTAGGTCTCACTATGTAAGCGGCAGTCTGGCCTCAAACTTGCCATCTTTCTGCTTCAGCCCTTGAGTGCTGGCATTACAGGTCTGCACCACTAAACTCGCTAATACTGCCTTCCTCAAAAGGCGAAACCAAACCTAACAGTAGTTTCACAGTTGAGTTGGCAATACGTATTTTCCCTTCATGGCACTGAGGAGTTTTGGTACATTTTCCCAATGTTAAAGGGGATCTGGCCCTACTAAGAGCATATAAAATCTCCCAATTATAAGATTTAGACAATATAGACTAAGAGGGACAAGCACTGAGTCTTGCGACATGTTCAGGGGAGCGAAGCAGGACATCCCAGGAAGTAGCAGAGAAGGATGCTGGGGTGTAAGGCTGTGTCTCTGCTACTGATGGAGCTACTTATCTGGGGGCTAGGACACCAGTTCCGCTACGCTGGAATTCCATTCTTTCTCTGGACAGATGTTCCCTTTTTGGAACACTTTCAAAATGAGTAGAGTCCAAGTCATTACTCACTAAGACTAATTTTGAAGTTAATATAATCAGTTTTTAAAAATTCAATGTAGCATGGCGTGGTGGTGCACGCCTTTAATCCTAGCACTCGGGAGGCAGAGGCAGGTGGATCTTTGTGAGTTCAAGGCCAGCCTGGTCTACATAGTGAGTTCCAGGACAGCTGGGGCTACAAGGAGACCTGTCTCAAAAAGACAAAAAAAAACAACACTTAACTCAGGTAGCACTTGGTTCCTTTTGTGTTCCGTTAGCACTGCTTGTCACAGTCTGACTTGCTCAATTTATTGCACATTGTTCTGGCTCCTTTCCCATCCTGTTGTCTACTTTGTGGCCAATCTACTCTTTATTGGGAAGTAACCAAACTCAAGTCTGAACTGTGCTTTTTGTCAGAAGCAATGTGTTCGGGAGAACACCCTGGAGGTGGCAATAAAATGAGATTGTTGTTAGCTGCCATGTGGGTGCTGGGATTCGAACCCGGGTTTTCTGCATGAACAGTCAGTGTTCTTATCTGCTGAGCCACCTCTCCAGACCCTATTTTAAATTTTTTGTATGTATAAGTGTATTGCCTGCACGTATGTAAGTGCATTGGTGTCATGCAATGCCCATGGAGGTCCCAAGAAGGTGCTGGATGCCCCTGGTATCTGCAGAGGCTGAGAGAGCCGGAGAACTGTAGCTAAGGATGGGTGTTAGCTGTCATGTGGTGCTAGGAACTGAACTTGGGTCCTCTGGAAGAGCAGCCAGTGCTCTTAACCCTTTTTAAATTATTTCTGTCTCAAGTAGTTTACATTAGTTTGGAGTTTGTTTTTGGAAACAGCATCTTACTCTGTAGCCTCATGGCAACCTTCCAGCCTCAGTCTCTCAAATATTGGGATTACAGGAGTGAGCTGCACCAGTTTTATTTATATATATACAAGTTAAACAATTAAGGAAACAACTTTTACTAAATTTCAATTAATTAAATACATGGCTAACAAGTCAGTAATGACGGAATTCTTTCTACTGCTTACCTTTTGGTGCTTCTGGGATTCCGATGGGGCAAATGATCTTCCGGACACAGTACTCAGAACGAATGCCATAAGGGCCAACATCTCGCCTTTTAATTATTTCCGTGGTTGTGATTTCAGTTTCAGAAGTTTCTATGGGAATTGAATTTACATACTATTAATAACCTGAAATACAAAGGAATTAAAACACAGGGCATCTGGTGCTTCTTAAAAAAGATACGAATATGGAATGTACTTTCAGAAACATCTCGTTTACTGCCTAGAGAACCACTGTGGGACAACGCAATGAATTTCTCCCATAGAAAAAAATTTTTCATCTTTTGACTTTGGTAAACTTTTACTGCTTGTTGTTTAAGCCAGGGTTCTCACTATGCTTAGGCTGATCTTCCCTCCTCTTTGGATACATGGTTGGTCTCCCAAGTTGACCTGGAACTTAATATGTAAGTCCAGGCTGGCCCCAAACTTGTGGCGATCCTCCTGCCTCAGCCTGGAAGGCAGGAAGGAACATTTCTAAAGCAAACAAAGTGATACAAGGTCCAACTTAGCTCCAAGTGGCAGCACTCAGCCAAAACAATAAAGGAACTCCCAGGAGTCTCGGGTTAAATGACGTATACTCTGCCATAGTAAGTATCATTTAAAAATTTAGTTAGGTTTGTGTGAATACTCATGTAATAATCTAACTCTTCCCCTTGACCTTGATTTTGACACATGGCAATCTAATGCAAAATTATAATTTTGATAAAGGTCAAATGCAGTGAATGGCCAAAGATTTGAAAAAATATCTTATTATTTTTTATTTTATGTGTATGAGTGCAATGCCTGCATGTATGTAAGTGCACACATGTCATAAAATGCTAGCGGAGGTCAGAAGAAGGTGTCAGATCCCCAGAACTGGAGTTACAGTTGTTGGCTGACATGTAGGTGCAGGGAATCGAACCTGGGTCCTCTGCAAGGGCAGTCAGTACTATTGACTGCTGAGCTACATCCTATCCAGCTGGCCAAAGATTTTATGTTTTTTCCCCGCCTCCTTCAATGCTGGGGTTGAACGCAGAGCCTTGTACGTGTTAGGGCTGAGCTACAGTTGAAGACTTTTTCAGTTTCTTTGTTTGGTTTTGAGACATGGTCTTATTAATTATTCAAGCTGGCCTTGAACTCACTCTGTAGCCTAAGCAGGCCACTGATGAGATCCTCTTGCCTCAGCCTTTAAAGTAGCTGGGATTACAAACCTGAGCTACCAGGTCTGGCTGGCTTATTTATTTATTTATTTATTTATTTATTTATTTATTTATTTATGAGATGGTCTCACATAACCCAGGTTGGCCTTGAACTCAGGTAGGGATGACCTTAAACTTTTGATCCTCCTGCCTCCAGTTCATGAGTACTGGGATTACAGGCCTGAACCACTATACCCAGTTCATATGGTGTTAGGGTATGAAACTAAGGGCCTCATGTATGCAAGGTAGGCACGCTACCAACTGAGCTACATCCTCAGCCCATATCGTTTAAACTTAAAATCCAACTCCCTTACCTGTCCGTGTAGTCCCTCCTCCTGGAGGAGCCTTTGCTGCCATGTCATCCCATCTCAAACTGGCCCATAGCAATCGTAACATCAGGCTCACTCCTGCTAAGGACTTCACGGTCTGAAGTCTATACCTGAAAGAACAACCCAAATCAAACCATACATGAACACACAAACACACACATTCACACTCTTTTTTCTTTCTCTCGACTAAATTGAAGCATGGTCCCAGGTCCTCATTATGACCCCAGTGCCTATAACAGCTCTGTACACTTTGGTGGTTTAAGTTCTTCAAAAGAATAACTTTTTGTTCCTAGGATAGCATGCATCTAACATTTTAAAATTTTCTAGATTAATTTCCAATGACATAAAAATACGTAGAGTTTGTCTCCTTAAAAAAAAAAAACAGTTAAGACAACAATTTTAATATTAATCGAATTCTAAACTATCTGCAAGAAAATCATGACAGAAAATAAAAATACCTATCTGTGAAAAGAGTCTGAGGATAAAATCATGATCCAATAGTTTTTGAGAAAACCAAAAAAAAAAAAAAACTGAAAATGCTTACATTTTCTCAAAGAGTAAAACAAAACAAAAACACTTTGCAAATATAAGAAGACCTTTCCAAACTGAAAGGAAATTTTGTACACAGTGATTATTCAAACCTGAACCACTGGACATGAACACTGCACAGACTTGCAACACTAACAACGCTAGTGTATTTTTGGAATCTGGCTATCAGCAAAAACAGTACTAGAAAATGTACAATGCTTTATGAGCTACTAATCTCAAGAAAAGGGAAATCTCTGTTCTTCCTTAAGCACTGTGTGAAGTTAGTATTCATCTCTTTTAAAAAACTAAAAGCACATCTAAAAATGAATTTACTCAATTGCAATGAATATTATGCCCTAAAATGGAATCCACTATGACACATACTAAAGCCGCCTCGGACCTGGAGAACTATATCCTCTGTGGGCATTCTCGCGCTACATAGAATGCAAATACTGGCAAAGTACAATTTAGAGGAAGTCTAGCCGATGAGAATAATGTCTTCTAGTAACAGAGGTTGTCAGTCAATCTAAGACGTCCTTGCATTTGAAAGGTGATGCTTTCTACTGTTACTATTCTGAAAAACTGAGCATGAGAAAGGCAAGCTCTAGTTAATTTGCCAATTACTATCTCCATCCATGGCATGCTCCTTTCTTCCTGTTAACACCCTGTGAATCCTTGGATACGGACAGAACCCTTAAGAGTGTAGGGATAGTCTGATAGGGGAGAAGTCTGTCATTTTCAGATCAGACCATACCCTATAGAAATTCTCAGGGAACTCTGGTGGGGGTGGGGGTGGTTAAGCATTTATACAGAATGAAAAAAGCTAAAGAATAAAAGTTGATTCTCAGCCCCCGCCCAAACTTGCTCTCTAGGGTCAAACAATAATATCAAATTCTCTGTTTGCCTCTACCCTCCAAACTGGGGATGGAACACAGGGCCTTGAGCTACAAAGTAAGTACACTATCACTGAGCTATATCCCTAACCTCAAAAGGCAACTCTAAATAAAATATAGAGACTACAGCTCACATTATCAGTTTGCTTATTCATTTATCCACTCATTCATTCAAAAGACAGTTCAGTGCCACCCATGTGTTAAGACTATGAGAAAGAAACTGGGGTACAAAGAAGTGGATTTACTCCATTACAAGGTGCTGTATGAGACGACAAAAGGTTTGCCATAGTCTCAAAGGACAGGCTAAGAGAGTTCACTGAAGGCAAGGGGCACACACATCCTAACGAACAGTGTGCTCTTGCACACTCTTCTGAGACACCAAGTCCAGAGTCAATATGGACAGAGGGAAGGGGTGCATATGTATGGATAATGATGAAACTTACACGGGAGAAGCCAGGACAAGCTGGGCCAAACTGAAGGCTTAAAGAACAGCAGTGAAAACTACGTAAGGCCTCCAATACTGAACAGGTGGGAAAGAGAAATACTTCTCACTGAGTGATCCCTGGGTGACAGGCACTTTCTGTGCCTTTCTACACACTAGTAAGTAGCTTACTCAGAATATTCCCAGCACTGACGGACATTTTAGCATGAGCCCTCTGGCAGCACTGTGGAGGACAACTGCCAGTTCAAAGTGACAATGAAACAGAGTTAGGGCCTGGGGAAAAAGACAGTGCAGAGGATCAAAGAGGTTCTGTTGCATCCACGAAACAAGTTTCGATTTTTCCATAGTACTCAGCCTTAATCTTACATTTAAAAAATAACACACAAAGGGGCTGGAGAGATGGCTCAGCAGTTAAGAGCACTCACTGACTGTTCTTGCAGAGGATACAGGTTCGATTCCCAGCACCCACATGGCAACTAACAACTGTCCATAACTCCAGTTCCAGGGAGATTCGAATCCAGGGGATTTGACATTCTCTTCTGACCTCGGTGGGCACTGCATGACACAGGTACACTTGCATACATGCAGGCAATACACATACACATAAAATAAAAATGATCAAAAAAATTAAAAATAAATAAATAACACACATGCAGTTGGGCCTGCCTGTAATCCTAGCTACTTGTGAGGCTGGGGTGGGGGGCTGCTTGAGGTCAGGAGTTTGAGACCAGTCTGGGTCACATAGCTAGACCCCAGCCAAAAAGAAAGACTAAGACATGAGCTACCTGTAGCATGCTTAGCTTCTACTCTAAGCAGCAAACATCTGATCCAAATGTTGGTGCAAAAATGCATTTTACATGCATAGTTTTATAGCAATATTTTAATGTACTCTAAAATCAAGAAGAACATTTTTTTAGCCATATTTCCATTAGATAGAAGGGACTATATTTCAGCTTCAGCCAGTTAAAAACTTAGCATGTGTTTGAAGGCAACTGCCTATTAAAAATACACAGGAATGTATTTCTATTAAAAAGAGAGAGACAGAGAAATTAGCTGGGCATAGTGGCACACACCCACACCTTTAGTCCCAGCACTCAGGAGGCAAAGGCAGGTGAATCTCTGTGAGTTCAAGGTCAGCCTGGTCTACATAGTGAATTCCAGGTCAGCTGGGGCTACAGAGAGACCCTGTCTCAAAAAAACCAAAAAAAAAAAAAAAAAAAAAAAAAAAAAAAAAAAAAACCCTAAGAAATTTGACTGTGCCAGTGCATATCGAAACATCATTAAGGCTCCTGAAACCTGGCCATATGGAAAAGGACCCTAGAGCACTGTGGATTAAGACTGGGGCCTAATTTTCCCCAAGGGTCCCGCGGGACTACCATCAGAGCAGAGAGAGGAGAAAGGTCAGCCTCCAGCCACAGCATCTTAATTCAACTACTCTCACACATTAACTTTTCCAGTGGCAAGTTACCTACAGGACAGTCAAGGACACATTTTGGGACTACTCTCAACGAAGACAGCAGAAAAGTGCAGAGTAACCCTACAAATCCATCAACTGCAATGAGGAGTTTCTTGATTCCCTGCAGGATTCTGCAAACCCTTCATTGCACACTTCTAGGCAGTGTGCAATGCAGTGATGATAGCTTACTTCAAATCAAATGATGAGGTCATACACACTATGAGGGGTCACTATAGTGAATTCATTCCTTCAGAGACAATGCTGGTTTACATCGTTTTTTTTTTTTTTTTTTTTTTTTTTGTGGTCTTTTCTGATACGAACTAGCTGACAGTGATATAAATGACACAAAAAGTGTGATTTTTTAACTTGAACAAATTGGAAACATCAAGACACACCAAAACAAAGTCTCATGAGAAATGACGGGTGCTCAGAAACGTGCTGACAAGATAATGTAAAATCTAACTGCGACTAAGAGCAGTCCTGCTTTCTAGCATGGTCCCCAGCTCTTTTCTTTCTTAAAGTTTATGTTCCACCTCTTCCAATTATAAAGGGTGAAAAGACAGGGAAAGAGACAGGAAAGGGGGCCAGGTATGGACAAATAGGAGAAATGCAACATAACACATACCGACTGATTGGGAGAGGAAACCAAGCACTGCTCCTAACCTTGTCTCTCTGTCGTCACAGGCAAATAATTATGTACCCATAAGAGAACTTTAGGATCCCTCCCAGTTCACAACTGTCAATATTATACATACTTGTGATTTGTTCCCCAAACATAGAGTGCCTAGAACATTTTAAAATTAGGACTATTCCTGGGTTTAAAAGAATTCCTAAGGAATTTACAGTCTATCTTTTCTCATATAAATAACAGAGAATTCCAAAACATGCTTATTATGCAAAAAAATTATACTACTGACATGACGGGCTTCATGAAATTTACAGGTTTATTTGCTTATGTCTCATGTTTTCATGTACCACCTCAGAGAAATAAATCCAAACATTCTAGAAGTTGGTGATAATCCAATTCTGTGGTTAACTTGTTCCCAGAGCAAATAATATGCAATAACTTGGAAAGTTAGACCATAAAAATAACCAAGTTTGGCATGTTCTATTTGTCTTGTGAAAGTTAAAATGGAAATTCATGTTAAAAGATTCCCTTACATTTTAAGTCTTTAGATATTTTTTCTTAAGTCCATTTTTCCTAGGAAAACTTTTAGGTCTACCAGCTGTCTGAACTGGAAGTTTTTTGAATCTTATTTCTATTGCTGACTTTGACCGTTAAATAGATGATTCCCAACTGTCTCTCACTGTATTTTTTATAACTCTTTAAAGAGCTCCTCCCATTCCCAAATACACAGTGAAGTGCATACCTCCATGTGATACCAAAGGTCGGTCTAGGAGAAGGATACGGCCAGATATCCAAGGCGGGTTTTGCATTGTAATTGAAGTAAGGGACCTCTCGGATTCCTCCTTTTCTGGCCAGCTTTTTCAAGTCATCATTGGGCAACACAAATATGCTTTTTTTGCTGCTCTTGGTAACAAACTTCCTATAGGATGGCAGGGCTGTACCCGAACGCGTCTTCTTCGGTCTGGAAAATTTCATCAGTTTCACTTTGTCTCTTGTGGAATACTCTTTGCTCACCGTCATAGAGGTCACCAGTGTGCCTCCTGCAGTGGTCAAGGAGTCTGTCACTGTTGTGGTGATGACAGTTTTGCTCTGCTCCTTTACAGAGATGATATCCACACCGCTGTCTGTACAGGGTGTAGAGAGCTTTGTTACAGTGGTAGTGGTGGTTGTGACAGTGGATTTGGCACAATTTTCTGTGGAAGACACCACAGTCTGTTTGTCACCCTGTGCTACCTTGATCACGGTTTTTGACTCTGTAGCGACTGTGGATGTCATTGTGGTGACTTCTGTGATGACTGTTTTTCTTTTGGATTCTCCACTGACATTTTCATCTTTGCTAGTGGACAGACCATTTTCATCTGTGAAGTCATTACTGAGGTTAGATTCCTCTCCAGAAGTAACAGGAGATGGAGTAACTTTCTTGACCTCTGGGGTTTCAGTTTCCATATATTCCACCTGATTAAATGAGTTGCTTTCTGGACAAGAGGGTGGGGGCGAGGTTACCTGGGTACTGTCAGACTCTTTGGTTGATGACAGGGTCTCGAGGCTATCTCGGTAGTTACCTTCAGTGTCTGAAGAACTCAGCAAACATGAGTTGGTTTCTGAATTGTTTCTTTCATTAAAATCTTCCATGATGACGTCACCATTAACAAATGGCTTAATAACAGATTCTTTAACAGACTCTGACCTAATATTTCCAGGGATTATTTTATTGATATTATTGACCTTTGGTTCAACATTACCACTTCCTACTTTACTTCCCGAGATTTCCTTCAAGCATTCCCCTTTCAAATGCACTTTAGGTTTATTATCTTTGCCATTAATTTGAAATTTATTTGCTTTCTGTCCTTTCTTTTCAGGCTCTCGGTTTTCATTATTCTTTTTGTCAGTGGTATTTTTTAGACTTATTTGATCAACACTTTTATTAAATGGTCTCTCATCGAGTTTCTCGTGTTGACTTATTTTTTTACCATTTGCCTCAGTTACTTTACCTTGTACCTTGTCATCAGAATTTTCAGTGGACTTAGAAACAAACTCGTACTTCGAAGGCTCTATGCTTTCGACACCTTGTTCTGGAATCGTGATCTGATCAGAAATCCTTTCATTGCTATTCTGAACAATCATATCTTCTTCGCTGCTATCCTGAATAGACATGGTATCAGAACTATTTTCCACAGTGCTATTGTATTCAGAGTCACAGCCTAGTTTCCCATCAAGGTTCATTCCTTTTGGGAGGGACTGGGCATCTTTGTCACTGGTGCTTTTAGGTACTGATGTAGGTAAAGTACTCTTAGAAGAAGAAGTAATGGTGCCATTATCTTCCTGTAGGGGTGATTTTCTATTTTTATAGATCAAAGTACCAATGTCATCTGGTTTGGAATCATCAATGAAGTAATCACTTCCTTTTGTTTTAGTCTGATTTAGTTGAGGTCCTTTACTGGCAGGTTCAGAGAGACTGGTATCTATGTCATTTTCAACAGAGTTTTTCTGTCTCTGATCACATGGCTCAGGATTCTGAACAGAGATATCATCTAATACTTGATCTTTTGGACAGACTTTTTTGTTTGTGGTAAGTCTAGGATCACTGACGTCAAGAACTGAGGAATCACTTTGTGAGCACTCTTGCATGGAGTCCTCGGGCTTAGCACTACTTACACTATGGCTCTGTTCTTGGTCAGTGAAGTCACTCTGACACCCTTCTTTTGCTTTTGATGTTACAGGTGATTCGGAGAGACTTTTCAAAGAACTTGTAGAAGATTTTCCTGTTCCCTTAATTCCATTCTCCAGCTTCAATTTTTCAAGGCGCTGTTTTTCCTCCATTGTAAATTGTCTAATTCTCCTTTCAAGAAGTCCGTCTAGCTTGGATGATTTTGTTTTCTTCTTGTAACTAGTCCTTAGATGGAAACCCTCACTGACATTGACCACATCTGCTTGTGCACTTTCCTGACAGTTTACATGAGACTCTGGTTTCATGTCATCGATCTCCATTGGTTCTTCCTTGAAGGGTTTGTCATTATCAGCATCTAAAAGTTCTTTTACATCTGTGAAATAAAGACATCAAAAAAAGCGTAAATTTTACTCTGAGATGAGAAATTCATGAGACTATTTCAACTTTTAGAAGTAGTTATTTTCTTGAACTTCTGATGATCCTTTTTGACTCTGTATCTTGAGTACTAGATTAGAAGTGTGTGCCACTATGACTGGACTTACTTTGTTCTTTGCTAACTTTTTCCTTTTTATTATTAAAAAACACTTAAAACTAAGTATTTGATTTGGGCAGAAAAGACACTATAGGAATGTGTGGGGACGAAATGATAGATAATCCTTGGTATGTCATGGAGTCAGTCAGTGGTTATACCAGAAACATATACAGAGTCTTACTCTGGAGGCCAGGCTGGCCTCAGACTCAAGACCATCCTTCTGCCTCACCCTCCTAGTGCAAGGATTATAGGTGTGAACCACCATGCCTTGTTTACCCTATTTTTTGAAATTTTTATTAATTATCTATTTTTATATTTATGAATGTTTTACCTCCAAGTATGTAAGTAGGCCTGTGTATGTAATACTTAAGGAGGCCAAAAAGGGCTTCAGATTCTCTGGAACTGGAGTTATGAGTGGCTATTAGCCAGCATGGGTGCTGAGAATCGAACCCAGGTCCCCTCTGAGAGCAGCCAATGTTCTTAACCATTGAGCTATGTCTCCAGTCCTAGACTATGTATTTTATTCATAGATGTGTATGTTTGTTCAGGTGCTGGTATGTGTGTATAAGTACATGTGGCAGCCTGAGGCTGACCTCAGGACTTCTTTTTAATCAGTCTCCACATAATTCCCTGAGGCAGGATCTGTCATTTAAACCCAGTGCTCACCAATACAGATAGTTCAGCTAACCAGCTTGCTGAGGATTACCTTCTGAAAGCTGGAATTACAGGTGGGTCCCACCTTGCTCACCTGGCATTTCCAGGTGAACTCTGGGCACAGGAACTCCAGTCCTCATGCTTAAGAATCAAGCACATTATGCAGTGAGCCACCCCCCCATAAGCTTTTTTTTTTTTTTTAAGAAGCTTTTTACATTTTTAATAAAAATGTCTTTTATTCATTCATCTCACTGGCCCCAAAAAAGCTTTTCATGACAATGTTAGTTTCCCAACAAGTTAAAACAAGAGGTTATTATGTAATCTAGTGATTCCACTCTTTGGTCTGTCTCAAAGAAGTGAAAATCTGTGTCTATCCTTGCACTAGGAGGGTGAGGCAGAAGGATGGCCTTGAGTCTGAGGCCAGCCTGGCCTACAGAGTAAGACTAGATGTTTCTGGTAGTCCAACTGATTCCATGACACACACCAAGGACTATATATCATTTCTTCCCCACACATTCCTAAAGATGCCTTCTCTGCCCATATCAAACACTTAGTTTTAAGTGTTTTTAAATAACTATATAAAGAGCCACAGAGATGGCTCACTAGGTAACACTTATCACCAAGTCTCATGACTAGAGTTCAATCCCTGGAATAAACAAATGTTAAAAACCCCAAAACATGGGGCTGGAGAGATGGCTCAGTGGTTAAGAACACTGACTGCTCTTGCAGAGGATCCAGATTTGATTCCTAGCACCCATATGGCAGCCAACAACTATCTGCAACTCCAGTTCTAAGTGATCTAATGCCTTCTTCTGATCTCTGTGGACTTTGTATGACACAGGTGCACTTACACACATGCAGGCAATACACTCATAGACATACAATAAAAATAATACTCCCCCCAAAACCTTTGTGCATTAACGTTCACAGCATACACAACAGCTAAAAAGTAGAAAGAGCCTAAATGTTCACTCAACAATGACTAGATAGACAAAATGTGGGCTGTCAGCATGGTGGCAGGTTATTTGGAAATAAAAAAGCACTGATAAATACAGTATGGTGGAATGTGGAATCACCGTGCCAAGTTAAAGAAGTGCACACCAAAGCACAACAGATTGCTAATTCTATTTAAATGAAATGTCCAAAATAGGCAAACCCACAGAGAAAACACTAGTGGGGTGGAATAACCTGGAAGGATCAAAAAGTGGCTTATATTGATGCTTCTTTTGATGTGATGAAAACGGTCTCAAGCCGGGAGTGGTGGCGCATGCCTTTAATCCCAGCACTCAGGAGGCAGAGGCAGGCAGATCTCTGTGAGCTCTACATAGTGAGTTCCAGGACAGCTGGGGCTACAGGGAGATCCTGTCTCAAAAAAAAGACTCCCCCCCAAACAAAAAAAACGGTCTCAAATCGTAACAAATGTCTGAACACTTCTGTGAACATGCTATAGCACTTGCACTTTGGCAGGGTGAACTGCCCACTCCATGAGTCATGTTGTTTGAAAGAGGTGGTGCAGTACCTTGCTGGTAGGGGCCTGATGCAGGGCATTCTCATCACCTGGGGCTGCCCTCTCTCTGTATTTGACCCTGCTTACCTTGGTCTTTCTCCTCAGACATCTTGGAGACATCCATTTCAGCTTCGTCTGCTCCTTTTGTAGCATCTGAACCTTTTACCTCACCTTTCTCAGAATCAGATTCTGTCTTAATTTTTTTTGGACTTCGTGGACTTTTTCTTTTATCTGATTCATCCTTGTGTTCATCCACAATATTTTTGGCTAAAAAGAATCATACACATGGTAATTACATATATTCTTATATTAGTTTTTAATTTATCTTTACTTTTATTTTGCGTGTGTGTGTGGGGGGTGCCAAACAGGCCAGAAGAGGGCATCAGATTCCCTGGAGCTGGAGTTACAGACAATGCTGAGAACTGAACTTTGGTCCTATATAAGATCAGCAAGTGTGCCTTAACCTCTGAGCCATCTCTCCAGCCCCTTAATATTAGAATTTATCTAGTTTAGTAAAAACAACCCAGTACTGTCCAGTAAATATATTTCATTAATTCTCACTGAAAAACAGGACAACCAGAAGAACCATATGGTTCTGATAATGGTACCCCTACTGCAAGCCACAAGAACAGCCAACTCTAAATAATGTTTGGGTTTCTCTGTAACATTATTTTCATGAGCTGGAGGTGTAGCTCAGTGGTACAGTGCTAGTGTACTAGGCAAGGCCCTGGTATCACATGCACAGTAACAGTGACAATCCCGTTTCCTGTTCTGTACTTCTGTTTTTTGGCACATCAGATCATCCCTCACACCAGTAGAACAAGTAGCATTTCTTTTTATTTCATTTTGAATAATTTTTTTTAATGTGTATTGCCTGTGTGTACCCGTGTTGTACAATGCTGGCACAGGTCAGAGGAGGGTGTTGGATCCCTTAGAACTAGAGCTATGGATGGTTGTTAGCCACCATGTGGGTGCTGGGAATCGAATCCGGACCTCTGTAAGAGCAGTCAGTGCCCTTACCGCTGAGCCATCTCTCTAACCCCACAAGTTAGCATTTCTTTAGTGCCACTAGTCTTAACGGTACTGGTGGTAACTGTTGCTGTCATTTTCACATCTGAGCCTATGATAATGTGTACTGTTGCCTTCTGCCCTGCCACCACCTGAAGAAAAGCTCAAAAAGATCAAGTTGGTACTAAGTAGGTTAGAAACAGGCCCAGTATTTCAGTAATAGCTTAAATACTATGCTAAGGAAAAGGAACATAAATAAGAACTGCAAAGAAGATAACCAATTTGTCTGTTGATAAGCTGGGTCTCATTCTGTGCCCTGGCTACCCGTACTCACTACGTAATCCAGACTGCCTCCTGCTGCCTGCCTCTCCTCTCCCCCTCCCCCTACAACTCCCCATATACCAATGCTGGAATTATATGTACGTGCCATCACACTGAGCTGATCCATGTGGATTTTATGACATAAACCAAGCCAGATACAAGTAAAGAGCTGTCTATAGTACGACATCAGTAACTAGAACAATATGAACACAGAACTTTACAACAATGGCCAGGCATAGTGGCGTATGCCTTTAGTCCCAGCACTCGGGAGGCAAATGCAGGCAGAACTCTGTGAGTTGAAGGCCAGCCTGGTTTACATAGTAAGTTCCAGGACAGCTGGGGCTACAGGAAGACCCTGTCTCCAAAAAAAAAAGACAAGGAAGCTGTTGGGACTTTACTATAATAATATTTAAAATGAACTTGGTAAGTTTTACTCCCGCAATTTCCAAAATAGGACTTTTAATTGAGCATCTACTATATGCAAGATGCTCCAAAAGTCACCATGATTAGTAGTGTTAATTGTCAGTCTGAAAGGACTTGCAATTATGTAAGAGACAGGTATCCAGATACACTAGTGAAGGATTTAGTTAGCCTCTGGGCATGCCTATGGGGAATTATTTTGATTAGGTTAATTGAGGAAGAAGACCTACCCACTGTGGGTGATACCAATCCCTGGGCTTAGATATTAAAGTCTTGTAAGTACAGGTAATTTTTAAAACTCTAGGATTTTATAATTAGGTAAACTCAAATAGCTATTTTTCACATGCTATTAAAAATTTCAGAAAATTACATTTATCTGAAACAAAGTCAATATGGAATTCTAAAAGAACTGATACAAACCAGAAGTAGTTCTATAGAAAACAACCTGTTACTCATGGAAATATTAAAGATTCATATTAACAACAACTATTAAAATAATACAGTGACTCACTTGCTTCCAATGTCTTCCTGTAGTTCACATTAGTATTGCCTGGTAATTTAGGAACAAACCTATACACGTGCGTTTTACTAATCCAGCTCCAGCCACCGTACCCTGTGACTCTGTATTCCTCCCCTTTCTGTTTCCAAACCTGGTAGAAATGAAAAGACAATGGTTAGACAGGCATGTGTGGTACATATACTGGCCAAATGCAAGTTAAGAATCAGGAAAACCGAGCCAGAGAGTAGGCTCCGCGGGTAAAAACACCCAAGCCTGGCAACCTGAGCTTGATCCCCAGGGCTCACGGGGTGGAAGGAGAGAAGGAACTCCTGCAAATTGTGCTCTGACCGCCACACACTTGTGAGCTCATGCCCATACAAATACACACAAGAAACAAATAACAGAACGAGGCAAATTAATTAAATTAACCAACTAATTCAATTTTCACCGGGAATCCAAGATTTATTAAGAAAGAAACAATACTCCCATTAAAATGTGGAATTTAACAAAGTTTTACATTTATCATTAGTTCCAACAGTTCCGAGGAACCCATGCTGACAAAATGACAAGCTGGGCTTCACCGCAGCTGTATTACAAGACCGTGACAAAAGCAAGGGGAAATAAGCATTCAAAGATCGCACAATAAACTATCAGAACTGCCTTCCGCCACTGAACACAGGAAAGATTACCTGGTGCTTAACTGGAAATGTGTACTTCACCCACGTGGCTTGCTGCATTGTTTCTTCCTCTTCTTGCTTTTTCTCCTTTTTTTTAACTTTCTCCTTCTCTTCCCTTTCAATTGATGTCATCCTATGTAACCTAATAGAAGGACAGAAAATGAATTTGCATTTACTTTTGAAAAGTCAGATACAAATGTGGTATTGAAAATAAGGCAGAAAACCGGGGCTGGAGAGACGGCTCAGCGGTTAAGGACACTGGTTGTTCTTGCAGAAGACCCAGGTTCGAATCCCAACACCCACATGGCAGCTAACAACTGTCCATAACTCCAGTTCCAGGGGATCCGAGAGCCTCTTCTGTCCTCCATGGCATTGCACGACACGGGTGCACTTACCTAAATGCAGGCAACACACCCGTACACATAAAATAAAAATAATAAAGGAAATATTTATAAAAAAGAAAGAAAAAGAAAATTAGGCAGAAAACCAAAGGTTGGTCAGTTACAACCCCAAAATGACATTCCCAAATGACAAAAATAAGTGGACGTATCGTTCCCTACCAGGAAGAATCAGAACAGAATCTGTAAAACCAAAAACCTTTCACCACCACCCTCAAAAGAAATACTTATGCTTTAGTCCTGTAACATCTGCACACAGGCGAACATTATGTATATCCTCACAGACCCATTAGAAGCAGTTTGACACCACATATACAACTCCAAAACTATGACTTTTAACCAGTGAATAACTATACTAGAATATCTTTCCAGATTTTTTTGGGTAGTGTGAAGGATTAAACTTAGGGCCTTGTGCATGATAGGCAAGTACTCGATCACTAAGCTATACTGCTAGCCTTTCCATATCACAATACCAGTATTTTCTTAATTAATTAAAAAATATTTGGGTATGGTGGCACAAGCCCTTAATCTCAGCACTTGGAAGGAGAGCCTAAAGCATGAGGATCTGAGTGTGACTCTATCTCAAAGAAAATAATCAAACTTCATCTCTCTCTGTCTACTGCCCACTCTGAGAAGGCGTTGCATCCTGTCACTATAGGACCTCAGTGTGCAATTCCTCGATGCTGCACACCATACACCAATCTCTGTAAGGTTCTGTAGACTCTCAAAAACTGCTGGGAGGAGGGAAGAGGGGTGGTGGCTCACTGTCTGCAACACCATGTCTCAATAACACTCTTTGGAACTAGGGCATGAAGCAAGCTCAGCAGCCTCAGCAAGGTGTACCTGACAGTCTCAGCTGCCAGGAGTAGGGTGTGGCTATGCCATCACCAAGTAAACGTTTTCACAGAGCTCTGGTAGACTTGGAGAGGCCAGCTCCAGCTCAGCAGCTTGCTGATGGAGAATGCTAGCTCATGTCTGTTCAGAAGACAAATAGATCCTTTGTCACCACCAAAAACAAAACCTTTGCTTAGCTCTGGTGTAATTTGGGAATATGTGCTCAGGTGAGTAAAACTCTACTGTTCTCCCTGCCACCAAGACAATCCTTATGGGGAGAGACAGCAACAGGAGGAGCCCTATAGGCCAGTCCTGTTAGCTGGGCACAAAGCTCCAGAAACCACTGCTGGCCTGGAGGCTCAAAGCAGCCCCCTCAGGATGGTATCATGCAGCATCCAGCTGTCACTCCATTCTACTCTGGTGAGTACAGCGAGTGACAGATTTCCTTCCATCTCTCCATAATCATCAGAGCACCAGACCAGGGGAATCATCTGTCAGCTCCACTCCTAATGCAGTGCTCAACAGTGCTCAAACCGTGCAGGCTGTTTGCTCTGTTATTACCTTAGAAATACAACATAAAATACTATATGTCCTTCAACCTAAACATGTGGAGCACTGTTCTACGTTCCACCTCAGTGATGCAATGGCACAGAACAGAACTTCTTGGACTTAAAATGCTGACAGAATCAACTGAGCGTCCATGGAGCACGGGGCCCTACCATCAGTAACAAATCCTATTAGCTCTCCCAGGCCTTCCACAGAGCTGAGTGTCCATCAAACTTTCAAGGTGCTGGCCAAACTGAGAAGTAAAAAAATACTATCCCACTTAAAGTCTGAGCTTATTTTTCTGCACAATGCCTATTCAAGTCCTCTGTCCTGTTTGGACTGACTGTTAGTCTTTCTCATCTGTAAAAGGTCTTGTCAATAAAGGAAATTTTCCATTTGTGGGGCAAATGTTTTTCCTCAGTTTGTGATCTCTGTTTTGAGTATTATTATAATAGCTTCCCACTTAGTATTTCAAATACATGTATCAAATTTTCTCCTCCATGACATCTGGGTTTTATATCTGTTTAAAAACAAAGCGTCAGAACAAAACTATAAATTAATTCATGCTTTGCCTTCAAGTTTTCTGTTATTAGAGCTTTTGTTTTGTTTTTAATCTTCACCAATCAGAGGCCTTTTGTGGCAGGCAGGAATTGGAATGATGCTTTCCCCACGTGTAGTGTTCCACAGTGAAATTCCCACGTGCTGACTTCTACCTCTGAATTCTCTCCTGCAGGGTTCTGCTTCTGCTGTGGGACTAGTATTTTCACTGCTGCAGCTTCAGAACATGCTGTATCCCTGGTTGGCCTGGAACTGCCAGAGATCTACCTGCCTCTGCAGGGTGTGAGGTTAAAGATGTGCACCACAATGCCTGTCTAAATTTTAAAGGCTGCTTTATACAGATTCTAATTGATTTCTTTTAAAATTTACTCCTAAGGGTATAAAGGTTTGTGGTTGCTGTTGCTGCTCCTGTTGCTATTGGGATTTTTTATTTCATTATAATTTAAAAGTAGATATAAAGCACTCAAAGCTAAGAAACTGAACTGCATCAATAACTAATCCTTCTGAAACTTGTGTTCCACCTCCCCATAATTATTTCTGACTTCTGTATGACTCAGGCACTTGCTGTTCCTCACGCTTTATTGCTTATATGGATTCCAAAGAGTAAAGACCTGGTTTTCAAAATCTCAGTAGCAAGAATTAAAGCACCTGTACAAAGTACAGGAGAGGTGGTCAGGCTTCTGATAGTGGCCTTTGCTACACAGCGACTCCCTGTCTCTAAGGACAACAGCCAAACACATTAGGTGCAAAACAAAAGAGCAGTACTAACCACTCTTAAAAAGTTTCCAGGGAAATAGAATCTTGTCTCTGGGTGACAGTGTGGCTGTAGCTTTTAGGAAAGATTGAGGGAACCTCTTTTGAGAATTAGTGGGTAAGGTTGTGAGCATGCCCAGAGAGGCACATGGCATGTGGCTTGCTACATCAGGCTATCTGGTAGCCTGCAGTCTACCACAAGGCTGCTGCAGAGACAAACCCAAAGTACTCTACACTTTCTGGTATGTCTGTCTGTCAGTCAGTCTCTCTCTCTCTCTCTCTCTCTCTCTCTCTCTCTCTCTCTCTCTCTCTCTCACACACACACACACACACACACACACACACGCCACTGAGAGTTTAATTTACTTTATTTTTAATGAGACAGGGACTGGCCTGAAACTTACTATGTAGCCCAGGATGGCATCCAATTCAAAGCAATCCTCCTGCCTCAGCCTCCTGAGTGCTGGGATAAAAACCCTGAACTGCCACACTCGCAGGACTTTGTGCTTCTGTGTCTTTGGTGTTCAGAGGTGAGATGTGGGCATATCCTCACTTGGATTTGGCCTTCCTGAGTTGGTTCCCCTTTGCCCACTAGCACTGCACTTCATGGTCTTACCACTGCTGCAGTCACTACACAAGCAGGCTTGTACTTTTTGAACATTTGCTTAGCATGTTTTGGATTCCATCTCCAGCAGTATACCCACACCTACACCCACATGTCTTGGCCAAATTTTGGGGGAGGTCATTAAGGAAAAAGATTGTATGTGAGTCAATCTGTTTCTTCAACCCAGAATCTCCCCATATTTTCTGCACTATTGTCTGTATACATGAAAGGTATGGTTCAATCTGCATTTTTACTTTTAATTATATGTGTAAGTGTCAGTGTGACAGCATGTGCACCTGTGAGTACAGGTGCGTTTGGGGCCTACAAGATCCTTTAGGGTCTTTGGAGCCCCTGGACCTGGAATTGCAGGCGGTTGTGAACCACCTAATGCAGGCCCTCTGAAAAAGAGCAGTAAGCACCCTTAACGGGTGAGTCATCTCTCCAGCCCTCCACCTTATTTTACATGGGGTTTCTGATGGTTTTGATAGTTCTGAAGTCACTGCTGAAGGAAGGTCCCTAAGCATACAACTAGATCAGATGAATATAGTAACTATCTATTATGTTGATGATGTTTCTATGTTTTACTTTTCTTGGAAAGTTACACTGACTAGTATTTTTAGGGAAAGTCAGGTTAATGGGAATGCTTCAAAGGTTAAGTGGGAAGCATAATTTGGTTTAAAATATACATATACTTAAAAAAAAAGACTTCAAAAATGCCTTCTTGGCATGTAATGAAATAAATTTCTCTTTAACTTGTCAAAATAGCATGGTACTGGGGCTGGAGAGATGGCTTTTACATGGGTGCTAGGATCTGAACTCTGGTCCAATGATTGCTCTTAACCACTGATCCATCTCCCTAGCTCCTTTATCAAGATGTATGTGAAGAGAAATAATACTTTGCAAGATCTTCCATTTGTCTGTTGGAACCATTTAACCTGTCTGGTTCCTGCAATGAAGTATTTTTGTAAAAAAATATTTTATTTATTATTTTTATTTTATGTGTATGTGTGTATTGCCTGCATGTAGGTAAGCACACCCCTGTCATGCAATGCCTGTGGAAGACAGAAGAGGCTGTTGGATCCTCTGGAATTGGAGTTAAAGAAAGTTGTTAGCTGCCATGTGGGTGTTGGGATTCGAACCCAGGTATTCTGCAAGAACAGTCAGTGTTTTTAATCACTGAGCCATCTCTCCAGCCCCTGCAATGAAGTATTTACTTGTGAAATAATCTGGTTCTTCCCAGCTCCATAATGGCAGGTGAACTGATAAAGAGAATCAAAAACCTTTTATTGGGCGCCAAGAGGATGGCTCAGTGGGTAAAGGCTGACAACCTGAGTTTCCATTCCCAGAACCCATGTGGTGGATGGGGAGAAACAACTTTCACAAGCTGTCCTCAGACACAGATCCACCTGCTTCTACTTCCTGAGTGTTGGGAGCAAAGCTGTGCACCAGTGTACCCGGCCATAAATTTAATTTTTAAACAAAAGTATATAAAAACTCCTTTACAGTGTGGACTACCCTCCATGCTCTACTGTGAAAAAGCAGACACCAATGTGACCTTTACTTTTCAGGCCATCCCCTCCACCGAAAAGAAGCCAATAGGGCTGCTCCCTCTGTGGATGCAGGAAGCATGCTAGGCAAGCACTCTTCCACTAAGCTAAGTGCCCAGCTCTCTTGCAACTCTTTCTCTTTTTGGTATGAATTCTTAATTCTTGAGAATTTCAACAACGAACCTAGAGATCATCATTTCAGATGAACGGACCAGTCAGAGAGCCCTTGGGATCTGCGCGTCTTCCTAGGCCCCCAACTGTTTACGTGTTTACAGGTGCATGTCCCCATGGCTGGTTTTTTACATGAGTTCTGGGAACCCAAACTCAGGTCCATATGCTTGAATAGCAAGCACTTTACCCACTGAATTATTTCCTCAGCCCTTGCAGGAACTTTTTAAAGACTAAATGTTTTAAAAACCCATTAGCTTTAAAACTAATGATTCAAGTAAAAAAAAATATATATTTTTTTTAAAAAAAGGTTTTAGTCTTAAAATTTTTAATTTATATGCCCATATGATTCATGTGTGCTATGTGCAGGTGCCCATGGAGCCCACCCACATATCAAGAATCCCCTGGACTTGGAGTTACAGACAGTTATGAGCCACTGACAGAGGTGCTGGGAACCAAACTCAGGTCCTATGGAAGAACAGCACACACTCTTAACTGCTGAGCCATCGCTACAGGCCCACAAAATGTGTCTATTTTTAAAAAACTACCTGCTCACTGGGCGTGGTGGTGCACACCTTTAATCCCAGCACTCGGGAGGCAGAGGCAGGTGGATCTCTGTGAGTTGAAGGCCAGCCTGGTCTACATAGTGAGTTCCAGGACAGCTGGGGCTACGGGGAGACCCTGTCTCAAAAAGACACCCCCCCCAATAAAAAACTACCTGCTCAAGTACATACTTCTGAGTCTAATGGGTTAGCTACATGACCTTTGGCCAGACATTCAAGTTGAAGGAGAGATATAAGGCAGATCCTCAGCACAGTGTGGGGAACATTCTAGAATAAATGCTTTTAGAATGTGACTTTTTATTCCACTAAAAATGTTTTTCATTTGTTAAACATTCAAAAATATTTATCTGGAATGAGGGAGATGGTTGAATGGACAAAAGTGTTTGCCAAGAACCAATTTCTCTAATGTCCACATACACATGCACAGCCATGCACACACAATAAATAACATAATGTAATAATAAAAAAGTGCACAATTTTTTTTTTAAAATCTTCATTATAACCCTGTACCACAGGAATTAATGGAGTCCTGGGCATGGTTGTATATAACTTTAATCCCAGCACTCGGGAAGCACAGTCAGGAGATCTCTGTGAGACTAAGGCCAGCCTGGTCTACATTGTAAGCTCTAGGCCAGCTGGGGCTACAGGGAGACCCCTATCTCAAAAAACCACTTAAAAAAAAAAAAAAAGGAATTAGTGAAGATCAAGAATAAAGTATGTACTATTGCATCTTAAACATTTCATTGCTATTAAAGATCTAGTACTTCAGAAAGTATCCAATATTCATCATTCACAAGAACTCACCTGGTATGGCCTAAAGACTCCCGCCATATTGGCAGCATCACAACAGGCTTAACTGCACACTCCAGAATTGCTAGAGCCAATGCAAATTCTCTGGGTTTGCTACACATCTGAACTGCCTTGATCCAGTTTGCCCTACATTTCAGAAGGAAAGAATAATTTCATTTGGTTGTTTCTTAAATGAAATACATAGAGTTGTAATTTACTATGGCTTTTTTCTTAATATTTTATTTATTATTTTATGTATATGAGTGTATTGCCTGCATGTGTGTAAGTGCACCCATGCCATGCATTGGCTATGGAGATCAGAAGAGGGCCTCAGATTCCTTGGAACTGGAGTTATGGATGGTTATTAGTCGCCATGCTGAGAACTGAACCCAGGTCCTCTGCAAGAACAGCCAGTGCTCTTAACTGCTGAATTAACTCTCCAGCCCCCAACTATGATTCGATCTTGTAGCACAAATGAGAAGGATTTTGGGGGCGGGAGCAAATATATTCCACTACTGAAATGCCTAGCTGGGACAGTCATAGATTTAGTTCTCCCAACTCTTTGACCGTCTACAATAATTCTAGAACTTTGCATTTCACTTGACTCTAGGGATAAAATTCTGATGTCTAAAGTTACCTAACTGCTAGTGTTGCTTCAGCAACTCCGAAGCACAGACATACGGCCAGTTTCCTGCTTGCTGACCAAACTGACCTCACTGAACTCACTGGTAACAATATTTTAAGGTGTGCATCTACAAGGACCATCTTTGTAAGTATTCAGCATATTTATGACAATAAATTAACTTTAGTGTCCTTTACCTGTGTGAAGCCCAATTGGGATGAAGAAAGGATGAAGGGATATTGCTTTCTAGCTGTGTGATGGTCAGCCTCAGCGTAGATATGGTAAGAACTTTGGAGCCATGGACAGAACCATTCCATTTGAACTCCCCGGCTGGAGTCAGACAGAACTTATGTGCCAGGTGCCTCCTCTTATCATGATCTTCCCTGTGCTGGTGCTTATTCAGAGCAAATGAATTGGTAGAGTACTGATTGTGGTAGACACGATACTTTCCTTCTTGTCCCAATTTAAAGTAATTGTTGACATTTCCTTTCATGACCACTTCCTTTTTGGTACTCAACCGTGAAACTTCTCCTTGAGAGCTAACTACCAGTACCTGACCAGAAAAATAAAAATATTTCATTATACATGTCAAAAATGCAAATTTTGTCTGCCCAACTGTGTTACAGTACCTGTAATCAATCACTCCAAATAAGATACATCTTATGACTGAGATGTTGAAGTTTAAAACCTACATTAAAAGTGAAGTTTGAAGGCTGGGCGTGGTAGGACACTGTTAATGCCATCGCTCGGGAGGCAGAGGCAGGCAGATCTTTGTGAGTTGAAGGCCAGCCTGGCCTACATAGTAAGTTCCAGGACAGCTGGGGCTACAGGGAAACCCTGTCTCAAAAAGACCAAAAAAAATTATTTAGGGTAGAAGAAGAAATCCTTAAATGGGCAGGGGGGTGGTCACATTCCTAAAAATCCCAACATTTAGGAGGCTGGGGTTCAAGGATCATGAATTCAAGCCCAGCCTGAGGTCTGTCTCAAGACTTAAGACTCTGTCTCAGAAAAAAACGGGGCCTGAAGATGTCTTAGTGGGCAGAGCTGCTTGCCACACAAGCCTGGTGACCGAAGTTCAATCATGATGTGGGAATTATACCCACATTTAAATGGAAAGACAGCATAGATTCTACAAAGTTTTCTCCTGATCTACACACACACCACACACACAATAATAAAATTTAAACACAATTAAAGCGAAAGCTAACAATTTACAAATAAAAGAAGATATGCTGCGAAAAGAAAAGTGCTCCTAATTATTACATTAGACCTAATGAGAACTTCCACGAATTTTAGATATACACATGAAACTCTATGGGGATGTGATAGGGATACATTCCCCTAGCATCATATCACCTTTATAACATATCGTTTAGTGAAACAGTAGGGTATTATGCATAACTCCTAAAAAATATATGGCTAAAAATACCTCTTCTACTGCTCCTGTTAAAATTCCAAATTTGATAGACCAGAGGTCTTTAATACAGTGTTTTCCAATAGCTTTTTCCAAAAGTCAATCTTTTGGCAATCTTCTGGCCTGGTACTCACTATGTAGTCCAAGCTTGCCCCAAAATGGCAGCAACTCTTCTGCTTCAGCCTCCTAAGTGGTAGATTTCAGTCATCCACCCCACACCCAACTTTCCTTCAACTCCCTCCACCCCCCCAAAAAAATAATAACTAGACTACAAGAGAAAAATGTTAGAGTCTTTTTGTCATAGCAAGACAGAACTATTTCAGGATAGTTTTGAATGTGTGTACTGAGTTTCTAAGACAACACGTGTATTTAACTGAGTATCAGAGTGGAGAAGCTGTATGAAAGCTACTGCCATGATGCTTCAACTCCAAAACGGTTGTCACCATTCTGTCCCCACAGTAGGCAGGGGTAGAGAGACCAGGGTCAGTTTTGCTCTCACTGTTCAGGCAGAGCCAGGCACTCCAGGGTTCTCCTGAAGTGCTCACCTAGAGCTCTTTGGTAAAGCCCAGGAGGAAAAGCCCTACCCTCTTTAATGGGATGGTGCACACCAGTAATCCCAGGACTGAGAAGGTTGAGGCGGGAGGATTTTTAATTTGAAGCAAGCTTGGGCAACACAGCAGACCCTGTCTACAAGCAGCAACAATAATAAACCCACATGCATAAATAAAACAGGATTTCTCTCTTTAAAATTGTACACAAATATCCAATCATGTAATAGCATCTGCAACAACACTTAATCATGATACAAGTCTACCACTTTTGCTCTTGTTATCCACTAAACTCTTAGAAATGGAGAAACTATATTTCAAAACTAGGTCTATAAATTTTCTAACCCTATTTTAAAGATTTTAAGGTACAATAAAATTCCAGTTCTTCAATGTACAGATTTTTGTTTAAAACAAAACATACCTCTTTGCCCTCCTTAAATAATTTATTTGCTTCATGGGCTGCAGCTGCCACCTGCTGACTCTTCAGCTGACTGAGTTTGCTATCAGGATTCCGCAGCCTGGTGATGATGCGTGTGGAGCCTGATCCTCCTCTTCCTGCTCCAGAACACTCACTGATTTCTCCATTAGATTTCTCTGATCTGAAATCACCTATTATCAAATGAAAAAGTCACAGTGACTGCTGTAAGAACTGTAAGAATGCCTTGTCTATCCAATATTCACATGCCTTATACATTTAAGGTCCAAGAAAATAAAGCAGATAAAGTCCTTGAATTGGCAAAGCAAATGTTATGACTTCTCAAGAATTTTACTCATTAGTAAACATCAAAACATTACTGTGAGTCATTTATTATTTTGTGGGAAATACAAATGTAGATTATCTACTTGGAAACTCATCCACTAGAAAGGAGGGACCTCTAGAAATGCAAACGTAACAACACAGTGGGTGTGGGTGTAGTGCCCACTCCATGAGTCCTAGCATGTGGGAGGCAGAGAGGCAGGGGGATCTTTATGAGATCCAGGCCAGCCAGGGGCTACAGGGAGACCCTGTCTCAAATAAAGTAACAAATCTAACAACTCAAAATGCACACAAAAAATGTTGCTTTGTATATTCTATTATCAATTTTGATATTAAAAGGATAGTGCTAATTGTAGAAAGATTTCCACTAACATTCAACAAGGTTTTAATTTATACACATAAGTGCCGAATGAATTTTTCTCTAGAGAACCTAGATAAATTATTTGTGTAAGTTCACTAATATGAAGAATCAACTAAAAAATTTTTTAATAAAGACCTCTTAACACTTGCCTTGAAACTTAATTTTTGAAGGTCACAAGTGGACCCGCCCAAAAGCAATTTCTGCTTTCTGTATATACAAATCTCACTTTGGTTAAAAAAGAAAATACATACCCAGGTCACCACTTCACTGTACAATTTCCACTGGTCAGAACAAGGTCTTTTTGAAGCTTTAAAAGAAACTACAACAGTGTTGCACTGGTAAATGCAAGGCCAGAGAATTTCATATATATGGTGGCAAGCTGACAGGACTGAGGAACTGGCTGTGTATTTTGGGGTGGGAGGGAGTTTAACACTAGTTGGCTTAATCTGTTCCCTCCCCTTTATGCCTCTGGAGCGGAATGTTTCTCTCTCCACTTTTATTATATAATTTGGGCAAAGTTACAGATCAAGTATTTTGCCCTCTGGAAGCAAGAGTAGCCAATTTGATCAGAACACTATCCCACTTGATGACTGTTCCAGGAACTGACTAGATTCCAATCAGCATCCTACTTCATTTTTGTGGGTGGTGGGAACTGAACCCAGGTCCTCTGCAAGAGCAGCCAGTGCTCTTAACCAAGTCATCTCTCCAGCCCGTCTTCCATTTTAAAAGGGGAAAAAAAATCTAGAGGTTAAGGGAGCTGATTTTGTTTCCTTCTCTTTTTCTTTTATGGGACTGAATCCAGGGCCTTGCACAGGTTAGGCAAGTGTTCTACCACTGAGTTGCATTCCCAGCCTAAAATTCTACTTTTTCTTCTCTTCTCCTTTCTTTCCTTCCTTGAGACAGGATCTCACTATGAAGCTCTGGCTGGTCTGACACTTAAGCAGAACAAACAAACTAGCTCACAGAGATCTACTTGCCTCTGCCTCTTGAGTGCTAGGATTCTAGGTGAGCACTATGGTGGTGCACCATCATGGCTCTAACTGTTCTATTAGTGATCAGGGAAAATGTACATTAGAGGCTGGTAATGTCTACCTCTACAGCAGAAGACTGTCACTTGTGGGGAACAATAATCACCCATGGGGGAAGGAAAAATATAAGAGAAAACAGGAGACAGAGCTATCCTCAGCTTCTTGGACCTAACAATGCACCCGAGGCTGTCACCAGCCCTGGACTTTCCTGGCAACTCTACTAATGTATCCATTTTAAGCAAACTGAATTTCTGTCAAGAGCATATAATAACCCAGCACAGTATTTTAAGATTTTTTTTTCTCCAAAATATGCCACAGAATAGAGTAGGGGGCTGAGTGTCTTGCCATACCAGGCTGAAAGCTGGTAACCCAGGCTACCGCTACCTTCTCATAGGCCTCAGATTGTGACACTATGTGTGCTGGAGCTTTAATGCCAAACTGCTAACTACCTCTTTCTAGGGACCATCTCTAACATTCTGGAATAAAGTTGTTATGGAAGTTGCTTTGTCTAGGTTGGATTTCCTGAAAGAAATGGCAAGAGCTTTTTAATAGAAGCCCTTCAGAGTACAGCCACAATCTAATATTGCTCAGAACTAACCCTTTGCCATTTGCTAAATTTAATACAAATAAACAATGGGAAAACAACTTTATCCCCAGAAGTCAGGGTGAATGAGACAATAAGGGAACAAGGCTAAGAGCAGAGGTCCTCCTGGAGCCTCTACCCAAAGACCATACTGCTGGTATCAAAAAGGGGTGAATCTCTGCAGATGCCTGGTGGCAGAATAGACACCTGCTCCATCCCAGCTCCTTTGGCAAACCTACACAGACTCTACTGATCAGGCTATTGGCCACCAAACAGACAAAGTAAGAAAACAGAGGGGCTTGCTTCCAGGGATTCTGAGACAAGGTACTAAGTAAGCATTAGGTAGTAGTGGGAATTCCTATAAATCTGTAAGGGAATGTTATTGCCAGAAACAACAACAACAACAAAACAAACCCCTCCAAACCTGCCAAAGTGGTATGTATCCATGACTGTTCAACCCAAGAGCAATCCTCAACTGCCTAGACTGCGTAACAGCTAGTGGGAACCAGGCTGCAAAAGCAGAATGGCCATCAGAGGGAAAATCCCTCAGAGACATCAAAGTGCACCTTCCACTATCAGGGCAGTGGGTGTTAAGGGCAGCTAAATACAGAATTTGACACATGGGTTATAAGGGTAAGATAAACCATAACCAAACCTATCAAAATTAATGCATAACACACAGAAATCTTAGATTTCGGCCAAGATACCCATTGTGGGCCAAAGGGTTTGGGAAGTTTTCAGCCGCGGTTGAGAACTCTGCACTATGTTAGACAGAGGCATTTTTTAATTGAATACATGGGAACTAATTAATACACTGTGCTGAGTTACCAAAGGGCGGAACTGCAGATGTTTGCTGTGTTCTACCTTTGAAGCATCATTCCTTGTTCTCTGGAAAATCATTCCTACCCCATTTCAACCACACACTTTTCTGTAGTCAGCAATAATACCTTGCCTGCCCTGGCCACAGGTGTGGAACAATATGATCCAAGAGAGGCCACTCAAATTCCTTCCTCAAAGACTTTTGATTTGGAGCAGGAGTAGGGGCTTTGCCTTTGGGCCACAGACCTTAGAAAGACATGAAAACAATTGCTGGTGCCATCTTACCTGTAACTTGGAGAAAGTCTGTCTATATTAGGAGAAAATGAAATTAACACACAAATATATGTAGATTTAAAAGGTGAAAGAGAAAGGGAGGAAGACAGAAGCAGTTGTTATACACAGGGGTCCAGTTATGTCTCATGATAGTGTGGACTTTCCAATTACATAAGCTAATTAAATTTCCCTTTTGTTTAAACTATTTTATCATGGTTTGGTGACAGACAATTGAGAAAAATCCTGATTAAAACACATCTCCAACCTTATACCATATATAAAATTATATTCAAGATAAATTAAAAACAATGTAATAGAAGTGCCATGAGAAATTTCTGTAAAACACATTTATATTCTTGAGATAGTCTTCCTTAATGAGACAACGTGCAAAAAAACTCTACTGAAAAGATTAATAAATCTAGCCACATAAAAATTTAAAAACCTCTGTATAACCAGACAACAGCATTAAAAGTAACTAATACATAAGCACATATTTAAAACATATAATAGCCACAATACATAAAGCATTCCTAAAACTTAAGGAAAAATATCAAAACTCAACAGGAAAAACATGAATCATCAATTCACAGAAAGTTAAACACATGAAAAGAAAACCATATTTGTATGCAGAGATACACAAATTTTCCCATGAAATACCGTTTTTGCAACTGGCAAAAATGGTGAATTTAGGTATGAGAAATATATGTACGTAAATTATCAGTATTAGTCCCTTTTGTGTGCAATTAAGCAGTAGCCACCATTATTTTTTCTTTTTTTTGGTCTTTGAGACAGAGTCTATAGTCCCAGCTTTGTAGAAGCCTGGAACTCGCTTTGTAAACCAGGCTGGCCTTGAACTCACAAAGTTCCTCTCACCTTTGCCTCCCGTGTGCTGGGATTAAAGGCATGCACCACCATGCCCAGTTACAACCATTATTTTTAAAATGTACCTACCAGTTGAACAATAATTTCATTTGCTGTTTCTTACACTGTCAGAAATAACTGCATAAAGACACATGCTGAGGATGTTAAAAAGCACCACCATGGTGATAGTGAAATATCATGCAGCAGTTAAAAACAATGAATTTAATTCATAACATCAAGAGCCCCTACATGTATTACTGAGTGGGGGGAAGAAAAAAGAAAACCTTAAAAAAACAAAAAAACAAAAACCAACCAAGATGCAGAATGATCCCATTTATAAATATACTAAAAAAATAAAAAAAAAAGACCCCAAGAACAAAACAAAAAGATGTAAACATACATATATGAATGTAACTGTAGGGAGAAAGATCTAGAATGTTACACACCAAACTATGTATGGATGATGGTTATGCTTGGGGGGGCCGCAAAAAGGTTTCTTTTTCCCGTCTGTGTACTTCATGCTTTTTTGAAAGCAAAAACAGTGAGCTTAAGTGCTACTGTGTTAAAACAAAACAAAACAAAAAAACCACACAATAACAAGACTATATCTTCCCACCCCACTAAAATTTTATTAAAAAACTGAAAATGTTTAAAGAATAAAAAGTGTTTTAAAATCTCCCTGGAATGGAACATGTGTCCTTACCTATCTCTTCCTGAACAGAGACAGGTGTGTGGGAGTCTCTTTCTCCGATTTCAGGATCATCCGCTGCCTTAGACTCACTCTGGACAGAGCTGAGTTCACTGCTGCTGTTACTGTTTTCCAGATTAGGCTGGATGGAGGCAGTGGTAGCACTAGTGTTACTGCTGTCACATGTCTTGTTAGAATCTTCTAGAAAAATAGAATATCTGATTTTTAAATTGAAAATCATACCAAAGATAGCTGACTGTCAGAAGGACATTTAATGGTTTTAGGACTTCACCACAGTGCTGAACTTTCAAAAGCAAAGCTGATCATGGATGGAAAATTAAATATGTGTGAAAAGAAATTGGTAGGTGCTGCCCTACAAGTTATCGTTAAACTTGTCAGTCCACACACTCACAGACTATCATCATCTAAGTACATGGCAGACAGCCTCCTAACAGTCCACAGCACAAGAAAAAGCAACTGATAGAATTATTTCACAAAACTTAGGATACATCACATACTGAAGAGGTGCTTTTGCTGGGATAACAGTCAACATTTGAAGCTTATATTCATTCACAAGTTTCAAAGGGCATTAGAAACAGAATTAAAGAGGACTATTTATCTCTGAGTTTTTCTGTCTAAATGCAATCACTTTTCTGGATAATTTGATATCACTAACAGTTTAGTTCCTTAATAAAAATTACTACAAGGTTAAACGGGGAAACCCGAATACTTTCCATGGGCATTCAGAAATCAACAGCCTCCTTCTGCACCCCAATTTCTCCCTGAAAAGGCACACTCTATCACTTCACTAAAAAGCAACTGATAATATGTCACACTGACACCACGGAATGTATGATGAGGTCATAAAACTGTTTGAGGAAAATAGCCCCCAAACCTAACAAAATATAGGAAAACAGGAATAATCACAAAAGAAGTAAAAGTTGCCTTTAAACATAAGGAAATATGATTGATCACTTAATTCAAGCCAAGAGAAACGCAAACTAACACTATATGGAGAACCAGGTGTGGTGGGGGCTCACACCTGTAGTCACAGGATTAAGAGGCTGTAGTCACAGGACTTAAAAGGACTGCCAGCTGGGCATGGTGGCACACACCTTTAGTCCCAGCACTCGGGAGGCAGAGGCAGGTAGATGTCTGTGAGTTCAAGGCCAGCCTGGTCTACATAGTGAGTTCCAGGCCAGCTGGGGCTACAGGGAGACCCTGTCTCAAAAAG